CCCGTAAAAATCACCCTCTGCGTTCAGGAAAGTTAAATGTGCAGTCCATATCATCAGACTTGAACCACACTAACTCTGTCCAGAATTACGCTAAGAGGAAGATTACGACAGGTTGTTTCATTATGACCGACAATGTACTTATTTCTTTTTATTCCTAGAAATGTGTGTGTCTCGCCTTACGTTTCGGACGAACTACGCTCCCTGAAATTAACACAGGGTAGAAAACAGTCACTACTGGGTGTTTCGGAAGTGAATACTGAGCGTTGAGAAAGAGAAGTCTCCGCCAGGCACACACTGAACACAAACAATCGTTAACACGGTGTTATCGCTCTCTGCAGAATGCACGAAATGAAGGTTCGGCTCCGTCTGTTTCGCGTATCTCCGAAACAACAGATCGGATTTCGTTTAAATTCAGTAACGGCGGTGTAGGCTAAACTTGAATTTCATTTTGGTTTCAAATGATCCCCTATTTAAATGAAGCTCAAATAATATCAGACTGCCTCTGTGGTCTAGTGGTCAGAGTTCCTGGCTACAGATCCAGAGGTCCGGGTTCGATATCCGGCGCTACCAAGTTTTCTGAGAAGTAGTGGGTCTGGAAAGGGATCCACTCAGCCTCGTGAGGATAATTGAGGAGCTGTTTCAAGGAAATAGCGGCTTCGGTCTAGAAAACCGAAATTAACAGCCGTGGGAATTCGTTGCTCTGACTACGCGATACCCTCTATGCGGCTTAGTTGTCACTAACTTCGCCGACAAGTGGCGGTCGCTCGGTCGGTATAGTTCGCTTGCGGAGTACATTCCACGGAGTTTTTTTTTGTTCGCATAGTATCATCATCATCATCATCATCATCATCTCCATGGATTAGGCCATGCTTAGTCTGTTCGGTCCTCTTGAAAAGTATGTTGGTCCATTCATCTTAACTGTGGGTGCCCTACGTTTATTCACTTTTCTGGGTTTATGTTAAAATTTCATTCGGAATTTGTCCATCTATCTATGGCTCTACAGCCATTATGGACCTTGTCCGATATTTCAGTTTCTTAATCTGTACTCAGTGGTAGGACTCCTTGGAAGGGGGATCAGCTCGTTGCAAAGGCCGCTACCTACACACAGAACAACAGAAGCAAGGAATAAACGCATACACATACATCCATGCCTTGTGTGGGATTCGAACCCACGATCCCAGTTTTCGAGCGGGCGAAGACGGTTCATTCCTTAGACCTCGCGGTCGGCCTCTGTGCTCGACTAATCCGTCTGTCTTTCACTCGTAAAACGTTATACTTCCTGTATAACATGCACTTCAGAATGGTTTTACTCATATTTTAAGTGTTCAGTTTCTGCCAATTTTGTTATTTCTTGTTTGGCCCTTCCTTGTGCAGCCTGCCAGACTCCACAAATTTTCATTTCTGCAGTTTCAACTACTGCTTCAACTTTTTTTTTTTATACAGTCCAAATTTCAGATCCATCTGTAAGTCCCACCATAGCTTTATAAAATGTGTTTGTGTATATTTCGTTTTGTTATTCAATGCTCTTCTTACTGTTCTGCGCATTTGGTTAAATATAGTGATTTTCTATTTCTAAATCTCTGTTGTTTGTTGCTGTAATTGTATGTCTCAAGTAATTAAAAATTTACTTATTCAATTCTGTGATTATTTATCGCCATTTTTGTTCTCACGTTCCATCTTTCCTCTCAAAGCAACTGACTTTGTCTTTTTTTACTGAAATCTTTAAATTACAAATCTTAGCTTCATTGTTTAGTGCATATTCTGCTCTCTGTAGTTCATCTTCTGTACTTCCTACAATCACTTGGTCATCCGCGAATAGGAAGACTCTATTTAGAATTAAGCCCTTTGCTGAAATATTTTGTTTGATCATCTGCAGCCAGTCTTTGAAGACTTTGTCAATGCAAATATTAAACAGTAAAAGCTATCCCTGTAAGAGGCCGTCGAGGTTCCCACACTATCTAGACAATCGGCCCACAGATGGCGGTGAGGTTGTCAGCCTTACGCGCCGGCCGGCCTTTTAACCCAGGAAGATTCCTGGTATTCATTTCTGTTAAGAGGCTGAGTCGACCCCAGGGGTATAGTGCGGCTGGAGCCGGTGATAAAGGCCAGCCTTGTCGTGGCGCTGCTTGTCTTCTCCTGCCGCGGTCCGTGTTTAGAAGATGAGTGCGGCTACACACCCTACATTAGAAGAGAAAACGCAAGCACAGCAGTCTCCACAGAACAGTTATTAAAACAGCTGATGATGACTAATGACGGTCGAATCATGTAGTAGTCAATTTGGTTTATAAATTAAGCTTGAAAGACGCATTATGTATGCGTAACAGCTTTTAAACAAAATTTTAAAAAATTGCTGTATGTAAGACTTAACATCAGAGACATTTGATAATCAATTAACAACGTGCAACAGGATGCTACAATATGATTTTTTTTTCCTTGGTACTACAGCCCCAGTGGGCCTAGGCCTACCTCCATGAACTCCGTTCACTTCGGTTTTTCTAGATCTTACACGTTCGGTACGACTCCTTGGACGGGTGATCAGCTCGTCGCAAGGCCTCTACCTGTATACAAACACAGAAAAACGCACACACACAAACTAAACATCCATGCCCTAAGTGGGATTCGAACCCACGATCCCGGTTTCCAAGCGAGCGAAGACAGTACATGCCTTAGACCGCTCGGCTACCGTGACCGGCACAATATGATATTACTCCAGCATATTTCTAGCTGATGAAGCATCTGTGAGGTAGTGCAGCCGATGTATATTTGGTTAAGTTTTACACATATTCGGTCTTTTTATTCTTTCTATCATTAACAGCTTCTGTCAAGCTTAAGCAGTCGTATCCAAGAAGAATTGAAGGACAGACGAAAATCTCTGCAATGGCCTATCACGAATTATTCAGATATATCATGAAGTCCATGGATACGTCATGAAGTGCGTTCAATTGATAAGTACTTACTTATCGAGCTGAGTCCTTCTTGAGGAGAAGCCAAATCTGCAGCTACTCAAGAATTTCCCAGCATTTTATGGAACCCGAAGGTTCATTACCATGTTCGCAAGAGCCCTCCAGTGGTCCATATCCTAAGCCATTTTAATACAATCCATACCATCCCATCTTATCTCTCTAAGATCCATTTTAATATTGTCCACCTACCTACGCCTTGGTCTTCCCACTGATCCTTTTCCTTTTGGTTTTCCCACCACTATCCTATATGCATTCCTCTTCTCCCCCATTCGTGCTACATGCCCTGCTCACCTCACTCTCCTTGACTAGATCATTCTAATTATACTCGGAGAGGAGTACAAGTTATGAAACTCCTCATTATGCAGTTTTCTCCAACCTCCTGTCACTTCATCCCTCTTCGGTCCAAATATTCTCCTCAACACCCTGTTCTCAAACACTCTCAGTCTATGTTCCTCCCTTATGTCAGAGACCAAGTTTCTTACTTACTGTTCATTGTAAGCTCTTCAATTTTGTCTTTCAGATATTCCCTCTTTTTATTCTTGAAATGCCTGCTGGTTTCGCGTCTTATAGTGTTCAGATCATCCCCATTTATTTTGCTTGGATCCTGTAACCATTGCAATTTGGCTTTTTTTCTTTGGTCTAGTAATTTTGACCATCCTTCATCGAACCATGATTTATGCTTCTTCAGTTCATAATAACATAGACTCTCCTTGGCAGAAATTTGTATATTCTCTCTAATAGTTTCCCAAGATTTATTAACACCCACCTCAGTGTCCAAGTTTTCCAAGGCCGCAAACCTTGTATTAGAAATTTCAACATGATACGCTCTTCACCTTCTACCTTATTTAATTTATTGAGATTCAACCTCTCCATATGAACTCTGTGCGTTATTTGTTTGCTCACTGCCAGTCTTTCCCTAACCTTTGCCACCCCCAGGTAGTGGTCAGTATCACAATCTGCTGCCCTGAATGATTGGACATCAAGTATACTTGAATGCCGTCTCCTATCTATCAAAATATGGTCGATTTGATTGTGTATCTTCCCATCAGGAGGTGTCCAAGATAATTTATGGATGTTTCAATTGATAAACTGAGTTTCAAATATGTTTTGAATGTTTAACAACATACAAAGGAAAGAGTTTTATCATGCGCATTGGAACATCAATGATTTCATTAGCTTTTCAACAATCGAATTTTATCTGAAATAAATTTATATGGAAGTGAATGAAATTTACAAAATCGCAGAGAAACATTTAGAAACAAAAGTGTACTCCATGCAGTACAGCTTCTCACTCTTATTTTATGGACATCCAGTTTAAACGTCAATTGTTTCTCCTGGGTTATGATATCATGTAGGTGGGTACTAGCGTTTCAGAGTACATATTACCTCCATTTTCAGGGCAGAAGTTTCCTCTAAATGTCGGTATCCACTGACCAGAGTATATGGTGTCATAGTCCAGAAGACCACAGTGTATGTACCATTGTGCTTCCCGCTTGAAGACCTCAAACCTTGCAGGCTTCATACACCTGTTCTCGTCAGTTCGGTTTGTGACTGTGGGAAGCTCCGTTTGGCCAGGATGCATATCCTCACACGGGACCTTCTGTAGCTGACAGCCATTATACCGTGTTTCGAGTGTTGGATTCCATTATACGCGGAGCCTGCACAGATGTTCTGTCAGAGGCGTTCAGGTAACTCACCTTGTTCAAAGCAAGGTAAAAGGTAAAAAAAGTGAAGTTGTTCCTGTGGTTAACTAAGCCCCAGAAACACTTTATTCTGAACCATAAAAGGTACGCAAATACAATAAGTGGTCAAAAGGGTAGAGTTTTAGAATGATGAATCTTATATTTCCTTCTGTATTTTGAAATACTGAATTAATTGCCACAGAAACTTATGGTCGTCCTGCGTCTCGCGGTAAGTTGGCATAAAAATCCGAGGTGATTGTCTATGTCACGTGCCTGGTTCTGTCTCTTTCTCTCAGTTCCTGTTTCTTCGGCTCAGCAAGTTACGAAAAGCTGAGTCGCTTCTCTTTGTTTACAGATCATCAGCTGACTCCGGGCCGGCCTCGAGATGTGCGCACTGGCACACCGCTCCGAAGGTAACCGCGTTCCATCAAGGTTCTGAGGGTTGCGTACCAGAACCACGTGAAACCAAGAAAGTCTGAAGTGCGCATGAGCTGTCGTCAATCGCTAACAGCCTCACCAACAGGACACAACAATTCCATTATGTCTGAGGTACGAATCATGAAGTTAGAAAATTCCATGACTTGCGCGTGTCTTCGCTTACTTTCACTGTCTAAGCTGTTGTACCAATTGCGGCATTCGATGAGGAACGATAGGATGGCGCCGAATCACCCGCTGCCCTAACCCGCTTTAATTTGATGTGCCGGAATTTTTCGGGCGAATATATGGCACGCCGCCAAAACACAAGAGACTCGGAGATTTCGGTGGCTGCTGCAATTTGAAAGTTTTTGTGGCTTGCAAATACGGGTAATCGATTATAATTCTGACGTAAATTAAATTAATGTTGTACTAAGGAATATATACAAATATTGTCCCTTCTTCAAACCCCATGGTAGTCGTTTTGAAGCATCTTATTCGAATTTTTGTCGTCTTCTGATATCTGCTTACACTGAATGTGTCTGTTCTTAAAATGTGTACACTTTTGTAAAGTCACGGCAGTTGGTAGCGACACCTCGACAACGGCACGACAAACAAGACTCTAAGGCTAGTGTTTCGAGATATTAAAGGGTTTGTAGACGAGCAGAGACGTATACACGCACGTACAAATCAATCCGACGGGTAACCAGTTCTAAAGCGCGTAAGTGCTGTCACCTAAACTCAGCGGAAGCTGAAGATTACAGAAACGACTTTTTACGCAATTGTTCTTGGCAGCATCACGCTAATGCTAATGTTGAAGCATTCTCGTAAGGAGATTATAATTCTCTTGCCACATTTATTTCCCCACATCCGAAAGTTTATTCCCTCGGTTTTCTTAAACAGCAGCGCTTGAAATAAATAACCTCGCCCGATGACACAGTTTTTGACCTGACTCCATTCGACAGGCACGCGGCTGTAATCCACACGGCGCTATTTTGAGAAAGTCTCATTGCTTCTCCGTAAAGTGAGACGGCGGGCCAAGCCCACAGCCCACACTGCTGCTCCATGAGCCGCGGATACCCGTCTCCTTATACTGTCCAGCGTCCCCCATCGCCGTCCTCTTCTTCACGAATAGGTTGAAACTTCGTGTTGTATCTTCACGAAAGAACATAAACTAAATATATACAATACATATGAGGTTTCTAAGACAGTGAAATCAAGCGCATTGTCAAAGCGATAACACTGTTGTATTCGGCAAGTGCCGGGTCGAATTTCGGTTATCCTGACACAGGGTTTCGGTGGTTTTCCTCAGACCCTTAAAGTATATTCCCGGACAGTACCTCAATTTTGCCACGATCATTTCTAAATCCTTCCCAATACATCTCCAACCGACGATACACACTCTAACTGCTGACAGGACTGTACAGCAATACAACATTCGAGGAACTTATTTCTTCCATCTTCAGGGTACAAATTTCAGTAGGTATCGAGGTACGGGAGCTGTCGACAGAACAACGAAGTAAATTGAATTCCTTAAAAATCTACTGGAAATCAATAATATTGTCTATGGTTTATTCCATTTTATTGCCTCAATCAAACCAGTACATATTTCGGTTTCATGGACCATCATCAGGTGGTTTCTAAATAAATAAACAAAATATATTATTGAAGAAAGTCGTCTTCTGGGTTTAGGCGCCGTGTATTCTTCGTTTTGGCCNGTGTATTCTTCGTTTTGGCCGATGTTTCAGAGCCCTGAAGATGGAGGCGATACGTTCCTCCGAAACGTCGGCCAAAACGAAGAATACATGGCGCCTAAACCCAGAAGACAACTTTCTTCATAGTCATCGCCGTGAAAACCTCAGAACTTACAAAATATATTATTATTCAACTTCATATTTAAGTGGATCCCTTTTTACAATGAAAACATTCCATAAATAAAAAATATTGTGTTAAGTGAGCAATTGCAAATTATAGTGGTTTTCTGAAATTGTTAAAACGGTTTAGAACAGAGTAGGATGATATAGCGCTGAGCTCGCCAAGTGTGACGTAGAGGAGTTGTACGTAGTAAGTACATATTGGTATGGTGTCTGGTGGAAATTTTGATTAAATATAAATGAACTAATTAACTTGCAGATTTTATTACAGCACTGCCACCAGGCACCACATTAACGTCCTTGCACACCACGACGAGTTGGTCGCACCCCACAGGACCCTTCACCAACACAGCACAATACACTCTGCACACCCGCACACGGGCATGTAACTGACGTATGTGAATTATAAACATCTTTATCGTTGGCAAAACGGCCATTTTTGAGCGACAGCCTTTCTTACAAGATTCTGCAAGATTGCATCCGGTTTTCACTTCTTTGGGTTTCACAACAATATTTCTTTTACAGAACAAGGTCGTCAGCCTTACGTCCAGCTGCCAGGACAAGGTCCCTATAGTGGCAGGGTGGCCCACCTCTACCCTCAGGTTCCGAGTTCCCTTTCCTTCCCATTATACGACTCACAGGGCTACGGTAGAGGTATTCTAACCCTATTCCACACGGGGTAATTATAAAGAGTACATCTCATAATGAAAAATTGTATTTACAAGTGCACTGTTTCAATGAATTTCAGAAGAGACTGAATCCATCTGTAAACAGATGACCCATTGCATGGTCACTAAACTGTACCTACACGCCCTCCATATGCCACATTGGCATACCCTGCCTTAGATTTCTCTTGTTTTAACCTCATTAACAGTTTAAGAAGAATCACCATTATTTGCATTTCATTCACTTAACACAGTCATTTCTGGCACGCGGTAGCGTAGTTGGTTGAGGCACTATGCTACAAGCCGGAAGGTCGCGGGTTCGAGTCCCAATGAGGTGGATTTTTTAATTTACCTAATCCTTCCAGCCGCACCATGACTGTCCATGCGACTGAAATAGGTACGGGTAGAATGAGGCAATAAAACTGAATCACAGCTTCTGCACCTCGACCTTACAACACAACAGGATAGATAAAGGTAAAGTTTCCCCATGCTTTATGAATTAAGCTCTATACCATGAAGATGTATGGAGGACTGGAGGTATAGCTCCACCAAGGAAGTGAGTCATCAGCTTCACGCCTCTTCTGCTTTACCACTGGAAAAGGGCCCCTACTACAGATTGGATAGGAGGCTGGTGGCCCCAGAACCGGTCTGGAAGCTGTGGTGTAGAGAGAAACTTCTTGCCCTTGCTGGGAGCCGAACCTCACCTGAGCTATCTTGGCTCTTACAGCATTCATAATGATCTGTGAGAATGAAATATGTCATAGGACAGAAGGCACAATAGAAACGATCTGAAAATATCTGCACATATTTTGATGAGCTGAGAGGTTACACAGTGGGTTCGTTTGTCTCTAGTAAAACAGTCTCTTGGATAAGGATCTCACAGCAACCAGCAATATTTACTCTTCTCTTCTTGGATAATTTCAATAAAATAAGACACTATCACCGATATGTGGATATATCGTTATTTTAATAGTTGTGTATCACCTGTCATTTGGTGTTTTCTCCACTGATGACAAAGGACTCGCGTGAATCCTTGCAACGCGTGCCTGACTCTATGAAGTCTTCATAATCGTGTCTCAGACTTTTGTGTAAAACCTGCCCACCGTCACAACACCAGCTTCCAGATTTCTGTGACTGGTGCCATTATACTGCAAGTTTTCAAGGTTCTGACTGACACTGTCAGGGTTTTGAAATGTTTTTGCAATTTGATTAAAAACCTCCCCATCCCTAATTGACTCCAATGATCGACATATAAGTTTTGCAGACTAAACATGATGGAGAGACACGAAGTCCACATTATGCATTCATTTTATGGTGCTTGGTTCAAATAATGCATGAACTGCTGGAGGAAATATGGCTCCTCAGGTGCTGCTGGTTTCAGCCCAAGTCAGTCACTCCTGAGGACGTCATTTCAGACAAAGGAATTGCTCATTCTGCCAGCCAGCCGCGTTTGGTTCACAATTTGTTTTGTCTTGCCCACGAAATTAACAATATAATTTAGTTGGGTATAGTAACTTCTTGCTCTGCTTGTGGGGTAGGACAGTTTCATTTTCAAGTACTGTAGAATTCCTGCCTGGAAGTTTACATCACCCTCTGGCCAGTTCTTATGGGAGTAGCAAGGGATTGGCTCATAGAGTGAAGCCAGTGGACATTCTTGCAGTGAGACAAACCCTCCCTTATGTTCTTATGCTAAAACAATTGTTACTTTTCAGGGCAAGATACTTCTGTGATCTAAGTCCCAGTAAATTGCAGTACATGAAATAAATGCACAGGGCTGGGGTTAGTCACTCACACGTATTTGGATAATATTCTTTGGCTTGTTTCGAAGCAGCCAGAGAACACAGATAATATGTTGAAAGAAAACAGAAAAAATTGGGGTCCTGTATCTTAAATTTAATTAACAGTGTATTCAGTACAGTGAGCTCCGTTCTTTAACACAATATTAGTGTAACACCTGTTGAGAATTCAACGTAAATCTAATAAATTCTTGTAGTATGAGCTTCTATAACATTACCTGACTATGCTTCCACGCTTAACGCCACATCCCATGAATAATACATACAAACGATCCATCATAAACAGTCTCCTTTACAGATTGAAAATGGCTTGAAATAAGTTACAACTTGATGGGGTATGTAACAAATTCTGTAAAATGGTTCATTTCTTAAAACAATGAAGTACTGGAGCAATATTAAATTCACCCCATCCCCCAAATGTTACTGCAGATATCAAATATCATTGACATTTATTAGTTCATTTTGGATTCTAAACATGCAGGTATTCACATCGTTCGCACTGTGAGGTCGTTTTGTGCATGTAAGAGATGAGCAGTGCTGTGCTCTGGGACCCTAAAGCATGTCCTAGCTAAGCACAAAATGCTGGTTTTGGGACTTGGCCCATGTGACATTCCTGAATGCAATTTTGCAGACTTTCCCCATTAATGGAAGTATTCATCTGGTTATGAGATATGCTGCTGTTTGAGACTCAAGGATTCACTGCTATGGTGCTTAGGGAAGCCTGCCACATCCACCTGACAGCAAGTGGCTGAAGAATCATGATTCAGTTTCTGGTAGGGGCTTTCTTTCAACCACTGTCTAGACTGGCAGTACCAGTGGTGCAGCTGACCGCTCCCCTCCATCTACTCACTCCACCATATATCTTCATAGTGCTGTGTTTGATCAAATACTGTGATTAGTTTAACACTGCCAGAAGTTGGCAATAACTTCGTGGACAAGCCATGGTCACTCTGTATAGTTCATTCGTGGACTACAGGCTTTTTTTTTTGTATACCTAACTACCCTAACAAGCAAGTTTGTTTCTGAACAAGTTATGTAGCATATTTATGTACTTAACTTGAACAAACGTTTGTCATGAAAACTGTAAATTCTGACGTCCAAGGCACCTTCCAAACTGTGAGAACACACTCCACTCAGCCTGACATGTGCTTTTGTCAGACAATGCTAAAGACACTGCCTTGCACGAGCATCACACCATGCAAATGTATTTTGGATTATTGAGGCATGCAATGAACTTCCAGCTGTGACTGTCTTGTTCCTTTACAACAGGACCTGGGTGAATATCTAAGACCTATGTTACCCCAGTTGACAGTGGCATGTGTCTTGAAATCTAAGCATCTCAGGACATATGTTTGTAGCATTTTCTACTTTTCATTTAATGACAAAAAACAAACATTATGGCGAGCTTGTGCACAAATTTAACTTCATCCCATGTGTATCAGAAGAACGCAATTTGGTGTTTCAGTCCAGGTGACCTAACAGTGGAGGGTTTTCAGATTTATAAGTATTACTGTTAATTCCTAGATTAAATGTTGGCAATGTACTTTTAAAAACATTACAAGTGCTTTAATCAGCTGAACATGATCCACACAGTTGGGAAAGGTTTGGTCACTTACCTACCACCCTGTGAGATGAATTAAATGTGACGTATAACCTTTTTGGCTAGTTGGCATATTCAATTTTTTTTCATCAAATTTCACTTGTGACAGGTAGATGTTTTCATATCTAAGTTTTAAGTATTTATGAAATTAGTTTCCTCTGTTACACAGATTCATCTAGTTAGAAGAAATAATTGCTCTCTAAAATTACAGTGAGTACAGACCTAACAAAAATGTGATGCTGAGCTTTCGATATGATTAAAGACACTTCTATGGAAAGCAGAAGGCAGGGACCAAGGAAAATTTATGTTCCAAGGTAATTTATTATCAATTATTACTTTTTTATTGAAAATAAGTTGCAAACAGAATGAAAATGTATTTCTCTGTGAGAATCATAATGGAGCCATAGTGTGAATACGACAGAAGTACCAGTTACTTCAATCATTCACTCCCAAATGAATAATGTACCATAGGAGTAAATTTATGTACTTCCAGGGACTCAAATAAAGGTAAGAATTTATCTTCATTTTGTGCTGCGTGTGATACAGAAAGCTGTCCTCACACAACTTACACAGTGAGTGCACATGTTTGTGTTCCAAATGAAGGTGGGAATAAAAAAGAATCATCTTAAGAATTCACATGTCCCCAGTTTACTGTCATGTTTCATGCCTCATCTGTTTTCAATAACAGTTCTTCATTATAACACAAAATCCACCATTAATTCTGAAAATGTATTCCAATGTAGGTTTATAAGGATGTAGATTAAAACATGCATTTCAATAAAATGTAAATGTCAACTACAGATCACTGCTTACACCCAGCTTTATTCCATTTTGACTTCAGCTGAGTGACAGTTGTCTCATTATCGTCCAGGGCCCAAAAATGAATTTCTTCCAAACATATACAAACAATATCCTCCACAAAAAAAGACAGCAGTGAGATTGCAAATTCACCATCACTCTGTAAAAATATAATTGTTATGGGATGTTTAAATTAACTGAAGAAATTCTGTGCTTAAATTTCGAGCCCTGGCAATAAGGAATCCAATAGGTAACCCCTAATGAAAAATAATACGTTGCCTGAAACTGAGGCCTTTTTTAGAAATTTTCTTATCCCACTATTGAAGTTTTCCAAACTCCAAAGGATCGGCAATAAAATGAAAACAAGTTTCTTCATATCCATCGAGATGCATGATGAGCCAAGCTGCAGGCATGGGGCTGCTGCTGATCCTCAGTGCTCACTACTTCTCATCAAAGGGCGTCTTTACAAAGTATGTGGTAAGTGTGCCTTTACCTTTGACGTATGTTGGACCCCTGCATTCACACTCGTATCCCGACGCCATCAGAATTTTCGCTGTGCCTTCTGTAACCTGAATCACATAGATTGAAGAGGTCATGTCAGAGAAAATGCAGGCAGCAAAGGAAATTTGGAGAAAGCACATCAAAACACATTCACATTAGGGTATGAGGCACAACAGAATTTGAGCACTTGACTTCATTGACACTATGCTACATTTGCAAACAATAAGCTCAAAATGCAAAGTGTGAGAATGGCTCAAACAGATGCACAGAGCCAAGAGCCCACTATCACTTGTTTACCATTCAGAAACTCCACAAGCCTTCAAGAAGTGTAAAGTCCAGAAGAGCAGGCTAAATGTGATGTGGAGGTCCAACAACAAGGCTTGGGTGACACGTGACCTTTTTACTGATTGGATCAATGAAGTGTTTGGTCCTTCTGTGAAAAAATATTTGCTTGAGATGAATCTGCCACTCCATGTCTTGCTTGTTATGGACAACGCTCCTGCCCATCCTCCAGACCTACAAGATGACCTCCTTGAAGAATTTAAATTCATCAAGATCCAGTTTCTGCCTCCCAACACCACTCCGTTACTCCAGCCTATGGACCAGCAGGTTATTTCTAACTTTAAGAAGCTGTACACTAAAGCACTCTTCGGGCGTTGTTTTGAGGTGACTGAAGGAACCAATCTCACTCTCAGAGAGTTTTGAAAATACGATGATCGAAAAGGCATGGGAAGGAGTTACCAAGAGAACCCTCACTTCTGCTTGGAAGAAGCTTTGGCCGGACAGCGTTGTCAAATGTGACTTTGAGGGGTCTGAGATAGTACCCGTGAAGCCTGTAGTCAACGAGATTGTGTCTTTGGCCAAGATCATGGNTTTGGAGTTGCATTGTGTTTCACAGCAAGAAGTTGTGGAGGAGAGTTTGTCAGAGGAGGAGGAGGTAACAGCAAAGCAACAATCTTCTGGCGCAATAAGAGAAATGCTGAAAGCATGGGAAACTGTTGCATCGTACATTGAGAAGCATCACCCTAATAAGGCAGTGGCTATGCGCGCTACAAATTTATTTAATGATAATGCTGTGTCTCATTTTCACCAAATTTTGAAGCGTCGGCAAAAATAAATGTCTCTAGACAGCTTTCTAGTAAAAAAGAATTAGATATGTATCATAAATAATAAACTAATTATTTTGATTTTTTTTCTGCAAATCGAATTCGCATTCCAGGTTGGTTCATTCCGCACAGAAGAAAAGATGAAGATGATTCACGCTCCTTAACAATGTATATATAATTTTCTTTGAATAAACGTTATACATACATTTTTTTTAATAATTTTTTCGGCATGGAATGCATTATCGTATTTTACATTAAATTATACGGGAAAAAATGTTTCGCTTAACAAGTGTTTCGCATTACAAGTAAGAATCTGGAACGCATTATGGTCGTTAAGTGAGGTTCCACTGTACACATAAAAATGCTACATTTTTATTTGCAAGTCATGATTTATTTGCTACTGTCTTATTGAATTCAATAAATATTTACATTTTAAATAACTCAATCCTTTACACAGACCTCATATATAAATTCTGATCATTTAGTAGGAGTAAATGAAGGCTGAAATACTGTGGAACTCAAACAAGAAATAAATACATAGCAAATTAAGTAGATATGCACCAGTCCATTGGCCAGTTAATGGACACTAACCTGGAGGCGCCCCATTATGCCACAGCTGTCCATCCGTGAAGCAACATTGACTGTGTTGCCCCATATATCATATTGAGGCTTCTGAGCACCTACTACTCCAGCAATCACTGGTCCATGGTTCAAACCTATAACACATAGCAACATAATCACTCCTTCATTGCCATCATATCCAACTGCAACACAGCAATTCTCTAAAGGTGATAAGCACCAACACCCATTTCTGAATCTGCCAATTTGCAGCCTTTCATCTTTCCAACAGCAATGTCATAGTCACAAAAATTAGGCTCAGATAACAAGGGCTCAGCTGTATTCATTAAGTCTGCCCAACATCGTTAACCCTGTATACACTTAATACCTGAATCACTTTTCTCTTTGACTCACTAGATTCTTTCAGATTGAAAAATATTGTTCATTCAGTGCACTAGTACATCTTTACATTCCAGTTACCTTGCCTGGGATTTTGCAATCTGTCCTACTCACAACCTTCTGTCATGTTTTCTATTGAAGTCTTCTTAGCTAAAGTTAATACACTATTACACTAATTCCTCATTTTACAAACGTTCAATTAACAAACTATTATGTAAATAAATATGACACCTGACTGCTCCTTTATTCCTATTTTCAGTACTACAAGACACTAATTTTTAAGTAAAGGAAAAAATATTTAATTTGCATATTGGGGGTTGGAGTCCACCTGGGTCCACTCGTATGTTGGCTGCTGAGGGGCCTATTGTACCTGCCCCGGGTGATTATGATGCTGGAGAATTTGGTGGAATGAAGATTGGCAGGGGAAACCGAAGTACTTTGAGAAAACCTCCCCCCCGCGCCGCTTTGTCCACCACAAATCCCACTTGACCAGACCCAGGCTTGAACCCAGGCCGCCACAGTGGGAAGCCAGTGACTAACCACCTGAGCTATAGCGCATCCAATCTTTAAGTATGTCACAGCCCTCGGTTACTCACTCAACCAGAACCATTTCCTAAGATTTATTAAAAAATCAGTCCTGCTAATTTAAAATTAAATTGCTAACTTTCAAGCATAACAAATGAACATATACTCATATGTGTTTATAACATATGTTTATATTTGCCTATTTTTATTAATAGATAAATATATAGGCACTAACTTGTTCTTTTATCCTCTGATCAATGCCAGTATTTTAATGGGGTATTAAATTGCATTCAGGAAATGACTTTGGAGGTTTGTGCCCATTTCATCCACACATATTATATTCCATGGATCCAGATTAGGTAAAAATGATCACAGGATGAGGAATAAGCCCCCCCCCCCAAAAAAAACCCACACAGGACATATATATATACAGTGAAACTGAAGCTTTACACAAAGGGTTCATATAACATATTCAGATGTTTCAAATAGATACTTATACATCAATACTTTCCACTTATGCTGCTTATAAAAACCCTTGGCAGATCACAGGTCATTTTTACATAATAGAAATTCATCAACAGAATGCTACTTTTAAGCTGCGTCCTTTAATTCATAAGACTTTTGAGAATGATGGTATACTGTTTAAAATTTTGATACCAGCTTTTCTGAAAAATTATGGGGCTGGCAAATGGTTTACGAGCATGGTGTTTGTTTCTTGTGTTAACACTGGGTATAGCTAAATTAGACTGAGACTCTTCTTGGTTATTTATAATGAAGTTCATTAACGAAAATATGCAGTCACATGAAAGAGGTAAGATTTTTAATCTCTTAAACAGGCCTCTATACAAATTTCTAGGGTTGTTACCCACCAAGATTCTAACAATTTTTGTTTGTGAAGTAAACAATATTTTTTGCTGTTAGTTGAATTTCACCAGAAGAATATTTCATATTTCAATTATAGAATTATAATAGACAAAATAAATTGATTTGAGAGTGTTAGTTTGGCTGATATGTAACTGCATAAAATGCTCCATGTAACTTAGCACCAAAATTATCAAAGATTTTTCCAGTTTAAATGGTTATCTGCCTGTAAACCCAGGAATTCTGTGTTTACTGACGCTTCTATATATTGTAGCATGTAGAATCATTAGTAGGTAACGTCTTCACAAACAAATATCTTCGCAACAAAAAGATTGGAGTACAACAATGAATGGTGTTTTCTATGCAGTCCATATTCAAAATGTTATGAGGACAAGTGGAGCAAGAGTTCAGCGTTGTAAGGGTGTCTGTGAACAGAAAACTTAGCCAGCACAGTTAAAGAATCCCTGCTGTTAGAAGCCATTACCAGGAAATGACCGGTAAAGACATAGTAAACTGAAAATACTATTGCAGCAATTTGTAAAGTGTGGAAATTGGTGACAGTGTACATAAAATGGTACATGAAATGAAACACTGCCTCACCCATTCTGAGTTTAAATCTCTGGAAGGACTCCCTGTTGATCTGGTCAAGGATGGTCATAAGAGCAACAGCAAAGTCAACCAAAATAAGGACGTTATGTTCCTGTTGTCTGCTGGCATCCTGCAAGAAATGCATTTACATTTGTCAGACTGCAACAAACTCCACATTATTTATATCATAGATCCATTCACAATAAGGGTATATTACATTTCATTATAATAAAAAATGTAGGATGACTGTGCTGCAGAAAAAATGCATGTGACTACACATGTTCTGACATTTCAGGAAATCAGGTATTTCAGAGAAATGTAAATAAAAACATAAAAATGAAGTCACTGTGGATTTTATGAGGGTAAGTCAATAAGTTACAAATGGATATAGAACTTAAACAAATAAGAGAATTGATTTTAAAAATGCTTGAGGACTTCTCACTTGAAATTTCACAGCATCTCATTTGTCTTGCTGGCTGCATGGGGACGTGCGTTGTCATGCAAGAGCAACATGCCTTTGGTGAGGAGTCCTGGTCACTTCCATTGAATGGCCTTACAAAGTTTCCTGAGGATGTTACAGTAGGAGTTGGCATTTACGGTTTCTCCTTGAGGCTGGAATGTGGTGAGCAGTATACCTTCGAGATCCCAGAAGACTGCGAGCATCACTTTACTGGAGGATGGTGTCACCTTAAACTTTTTTTTGGCAGGCGATGCAGGATGTTTCCACTGCATTGATGCAAGCTTTGGTCTGAGCTGGTAATGATGAACCCAAGGCTCATCACCTGTGACAATTAGGGCTAGCATATCATGTCCTTCATCATGGTAGTGATTGAGATGCTGTAATGCCAGACCCATTCTTTGCATTTTGTGTTGTGGGGTCAGCATTTGTGGCACCCATCGTGCACAGACTTTGTGAAAACCTAACCTGTCATGCATTATGAGGTAGGCCATGCCATGTGAACAAGTAACAGCAGTGGCTACAGTGTCTACAGTTACCCTTCTGTCTGCTCCGATTAAGTCTTCAACCCGTTGCACATTCAAGTCTGTGGCAATCTCTGGTGGCCGGCTGAAGCGGTGTTTGTCTTCGATACGTGTCTGCCCTTCAGAGAACTTCTGCACCCAATTTTAAATAGCTTGACATGACAGGCATTTCTCACCACAGATGGGAAGCATTCCTTTATGAATATTCTTTGATTTCATAACTTTTGCCCACAAAAATCACATAATGGAGCGCTGCTCGAGGGTTGTACACTCACTCAGAGGCGCCGCCATCTTGCAACTGCTGTTTCGCTTTTGTAAACATTGATTGTCTCGTGTCGAATGTCATCAGTTTCCACCAGACTAATGCTGCCATCTAGTGGCGATAGCCTCAAGTACCTTATTCAAACATGTAGTACCCCACATCAATTTGTAACTTACCTATTGACTCACCTATGTATTAACCTCTAAGAGATGACATTTAAACCCCCAGTATACTGGCTAATGGCCTTGGTTTTCAAACACCCTGACATATCCATAATTCAGAATGTAAACTGTATTCATTGCACTTTTAAAGCCATAAGCTTCGAACTGGGCTGTTATGAATTAGTCCACTCATCCCCATGCAAAGTTTTGAAAATATAAAATCTGTATATATGCACTCAATTTATATACATTTTTTTTTTCAGGCTAAGTTTCATTACTTTCACATGTGATTTAGTATGATTTTATACTTAGCTCTGAAAAGGGCCTTAAACTTTCATAACAATTGCATGCGGAACATCCATAGATTTTGACCACTACTTGCTCTGGGGCTGCTATCATGTCTGGCACTAATTTGCCTACTGTACCAGTCCCTGATGATAGATTATCATGAATGTGGAGCTCAAACCTGGGCTGCCATGATCAGAAGCCGGCAACTAACCGCATGAGCTATGGCACGGCCATTACCATAAACATAAGTGTGACCTTTGTACACAGCAGTTCTGCCATTCTAATAATGGAAAGAGTGGGCACATTATGTGAAAAACTTCAGCTGTGAGACACAGCAAACACTAGGCTTCACTGAGACAGGAAGCAAACAGTTATGACAGTGTTTATCTACTCTCACAACATAAGGACACAGTATCACAATGTTAAAAGGCAATGCTTGGACAAAGACAATATTAAGTACTTGACAACAAATCGAAGTTAACTGAGGAGAACTCTAGTAAAAGAGCTGAGAAGGAAGGTGATGAGACAGAAGAGGCTCAAGCTCCACCCCGCCAAGAAGTATTCAAGTGAAGCTAACCAATGGGCCAGTCAGTTAGAGATGTCTATGAAAACACAGATCACAGTTCTGACGGTAAGTTGATTCCAGTCACTATGGCACCCAGAGCGGTGTCAAAGTGGGAGCAGCTGATGGGTGAAACAAACAGTAATATCCATGAACTCACTGGTGATATGACTGACAAAACAAAGAATGTCGTACCTCATATATTATTCATTTAATTAAACGTATTTTCCATTTATTATTTGTTGATCACCTTCCACTTGTAGTGCCCTGCTTTGTTAAGATTCCTGCTTCCATTCAATCAACAGGGGCTGTTTACTGATATGCACCCAAATGTAGGAAGAGAAGGGGCAGTGCTTGAAAATATATTTGAAAGGGAAGTTAAATGTTAAAACTACCATTGCTATGTGATGATAGTGAGAAGGAGCATGGCGTTACTTGGTAACAGCCAGTAAACATGTCGATATCAAAGCTATTGCTAGGCAACCACACAAAACTGTTGGAGGCGGTTCTTCTGTTGGGTCCACCCTGAGTCTAATTAATGAGGACCCCAGACCAGTTGAGGGGAATTGAGAGAGTTGAATTGTGGGATATTCACCAGAGAGGAAGAAACTGAGAGCGGGAAGCTGAAGAATCTCCACTGTTAACATCTGTTACCAGGAAATGGCAGTTGAAAACACTGCAGGCTTGAGAAGACTTAATGTTTGCAGCAGTGATTTTTAAAGTGTAGAGCTCAGCAGTAGAGCCGTAGTTACTTGCAGTTCTGATTGGTGTGTATAAGTGGTCAATAAAGCCATTCATCAATCCATACCCTGCCTACAGTCACCGCATGACAATATGCTCTGTATTATGTTATGAATGCTTTCTATTGTGATAAGGCAGAATTCAATTTCCTCTTCATGTATACAGGACCAATATGCATCTAAAAAATTCAAAACTTAGTACAGTCATCAGATACTGAACAGGCATATCATTGAAAATGCCCATAAGACATACAAGACATACAAGAATAACCAATGACCTACACACTATGCAGCAGAAATAAAACAACACCAAATACATAGGCCTACACAATAATAAACACTTAAAACACGTATAAACTGTACACTTCTGGAATTATGTGACCATCAGTTGCACATCACATTACACAATCTATTCATAATGCATACTTACCGCAGGTTTGGCCTTCGAAAGCAAGAAATGAAGAATGAAATCAGATGAGAGTGTTTTATCAGTGTCTACAGGACTAGGAGCTGAGAAGAGGGCAGATCATAGCATTTAGGGTCACCAAATTTATACCAAGCATGCAAAAGTTAGATGCCTTTATAATGTATAATATAAAACATACAGGAAACCATATTCTAAGTGTCCTACAGTAATTTAACAGTATGGGTAGCTTCATTTAATGCTGGGATTGCAGGTTGAAATTTGGCATCTGGAATGGGTATATGTGTGGTGTTGTTCTGCGATAGTACCAACTTTGTGACGGAAATCTTATAAACAGGAGGCACAACCAGAAAGCATTGATGCTGCAAGTTATGATGGCAGCACTGTAGGAGTTGGGGACACAAAACCATAATCTAAATAGCCACTGCTCTGAAAACCTCGAATTTCACAAACCCTATATTCACACTGCCAATTAGAAAGTTATACAACTCACGCCTGTTCCGCCTTCTTTTCCTGGTCGTAGTCCTGAAGCCAGCATATATGTACTCCCAATTGTTTTGATCTTCTCAATTCCACTGAACTTTGGTTTCAGCAACAACTAAAAGCAAAATATGGAGGTAAACTGGTAGGACAGTTGAGCAGAAATTCATTTAAGAGGCAAGAATGTAAAAAATTTAGGTCTCAATGATAAAGTTCTAAATTGTTTACCGATGATTTTCCAGCTGCACAGGTCATATATTGTATTGTTGAATGGGACAGAAAGATTGTTATAGGTAAGTAAGGAATGGTGTGAAGGGAGGGGGTTGTAGCACATTTCAAGGTACTGTCCTAGAGGTGCAGCCATACCAAGTGAAAATAATCATGTTATTAGTCTTGGGATTTTGTTTTGAAAGAAGAAAAAAAGCATGACAGAAAACTTCTTTAGTTCTACATTTTGAAAAGTGGAAATGCATTTGGCGTTTTCAAAACTCATTCCTCATTCACTGCAACTGAGGAGATGGTGTAGTGGTTGGTAATGCTCTTAGACATATTCTGAAGTTCCCCTGTTTGACTCTTGGCCAGGCTACTGGCCACTCTGACTGAGGGTTTCATGGTTCTACTCAGATCCTCCATGTATGTGACAAGGCCACAACCACACAAATTGTTTCCAATTTATTCTTCTTTCATATAAAAACGATAATTTCAACATTTCTTCCTCTCACTAGAAGATAAAGCTAAAATATCATAGGAAAATATATCAACATGAAATCTGCCAGGACAGAAACCATGTAAGTTGGAGGACAGCTACAGTAGGTACATAGTTCTTTTTTATATTCTAAACTGAATTTTAATAACTCAGTATGATTAATGAACAGTTAAAAGAAATGACTGATTAAGGTACTATGCTACAAGATGGAAGGTCATGGGTTTAATTTTCGACAAGGCCATGGGATTTCTCAATTGACATAATTCTTCCAGGCTCACTATGGCCCTGGGGTTGACTCAGCCTCTAACAGAAATGAGTACCAGGGATATTCCTGGAGGTAAAGGGTGGCCAGCCGGCACATAAAGCTGACAACATCAATGACATCTGAGTGCTGATTTTCTAGAAAATGTAGGAGCCTCAATGCCTCACAACCCTATGGACCTGCACAGCTTGTTACAAGGATAGCTCTACCTCTTTTCTTTAGGAGAAGATTTGAACACAGAGAGTTTTATAAAGTTGTTATTACTATGACAGTATACAGATCAGAATACTGAACTGCAACAAAACAAAGAAAACACGTGGTGAGATGAAATGAGGTTCCTGAGGATAACTGCAGGCTGTATGATATTTGGCCACATTTAAAAACCAAATAAGAAAAGAACAATTAAACATATGTGACATCCTAATGCACCTATGCCCAGCACATCCAGGACCTTTTGGATTGGTGTACTGGGAACTAGATTTGCTGTCTTGCTACTCCTTCCAAAACCATGTACCATCTGTGCGCTCAACTCCCCACGACCCTTTTAGTGAGAACTGCCTCCCATCTGGCATTCTCACAGCTCCTATTCTTTTCCTCCTTTCCAAATATTGTAGAGAAATGTAACATAATGTCTAAATAACATCCATGATTCACATTCATACCAACTTTCAATATCTGTATTTTTGTAGGTACTTACTGATATATACTGAGTTTCAGATCTGGCAACATCATGGAGGGAGAGCCAGAAATGAATTACATGTGGGGATGATTTAATGAAAAGAATGCATAATTTTTCTACAAATAGAAAACATCAGCTCCAACACTGTCATTATAGAACAGATGAGATGATGATGCAAAGTTAAACCTAAAGTTCACAATGAATCTTCACCTTGTCAAAGTCACAGATGATCTCATTAAGCAGGCGAAGACACTCCAGTCCCTGCTTGTTAACATCATTTTCATCATAGAACTCCTTGTAATTAGGGATGGATGCAAACATGACAGCAATACAACTGTACCGCTCATGGTACAGTTCCTGTGAACACAGATCACTGTGGAAGCTGCTAGCAGTAACATAACTTCTATGTTCAAGACAATCATTTGATTACAGGAAAAAGGTAAAGTTATCACAATATTGCACAATGTATTAAATCACTTTCTGAGCAACATGCAAGATACTTGCCACTAAAGCAGTGCATACATAAATCCGTATACATGAAAAACATGTTAATTAAACTGTGCACGAGTTGTTGGGGAGGTAAAAATAATAACATTTAAAAGCAATGGATTTAGCATGGTTGAGAAAACAGGAAGTGTGTATATGAGTAATACGACAGAAAACGATGCCAATTATATATTGCATGACTTCATAATTTGTACTATTCCTTCCTGTACATCTCCTCTGTTCTTCTAGTTACTGCGCCAAGTTCTTCTTAGGAGTCTCGAAACGATAACGCAATGAACAACACAGTCACAAGACCATTCTGATGCCTCTAACCACAATATTATAATGACAAAACAGTACCAAACTGAGACTGAGATTTTCCTATTCAGTGTAATTTGTTAAAAAATTTCCTGTACAATGTGATGATAAAATTTGATTGCTATAAGAAATATAGAGATGAAAAAATCTACTTTTCACTCATGTGAATCTGACCACTGCAAATTTGAGTTGTTCAATTCTAAGGTAACATTTTCTTGTGGCATTGTAAGAGAGCATAGCAATCAAAACTGAGATCCTCCTTTCATTTAGTGAAGTATAATAAAGCCTTAATGAAGCAGTTACTCTTCTGTGAATATGTTAGGAAGGGTGAGATGGGTGACATATTCAGCATACATGTATATAGAGGAAAAAATTGCACAATATTTAAGCTTGAAAACAAGAAAGACCTCAGTGTATAAGAAGACAATTTTAAGATGAATTTTGGGAAAGTACCGTATTTACGCATGTATAGGCTGCACATTTTTTGCCAAAAATTCAAGAGGAAACTGGGGTGCGGCTTATATTCGAAATCACGCTTCATTTAAAAAAAAATTATATTCATAATTAGTAATACAGGGTGTAATACTCCTGAAATAATATTCCAAGAAAATTATTTTTTCTATAATTTCTGTCTGAAAATTGTGCTGCGGCCTATACATGAATAAATACAGTATTCTGTAAGGATAGGAACTAGACTGAATCAGTTCAGATTAGTTGCTAATGACTTTGAACTCTGTGGTTTCATAAGAACAGAACGTTTCTTGAGTTTCAAGTTGTATCTAATGCTCTGGAAATAAACACCTGTACCACAGAGAGTATATAAAAGATTTCACTGACATAACAAAATGAAGGGAAGATCGAATTCTGAACTATGATCAGTTTTACAGAGCTGTAAGCATGTAACCAGGTACCTGTCCCAATGAAGTGGGACACACAGCAGGGATGATAGTTCCATGAGGACACAAGCAACAGGTTCAATACAAACCCACCGCATGTGATGCACCATTAGATGCTATGTTTGAATAACATCTGTATGGTCCATCTCGCTGCTGTTCTCAAGGGGCAGGTGCTGAAGAAAGGCATGACTCTATGGGGTATGTATCTCAGTACTAATGGCAAATTTGTGTGACTGGCCAAATATTATATCCTGTAACCATTCTTGGGCAGATTTCTAGTGACCTCCCTTCCATACTCAAGCAGAACTGTACCTGAGAGTTCCTCTTGTCCAGGAAGTGTTCTGCTACATGTGCAGGCAGAATATTTTCAAGCAGGATCTTGTTTATACCCCTCATTGTCTCCACCTCCTCCTGCTCAACCTTCAACTTGGCTTTCCACAGGAAATCTGTCCGAGAGGTAAACTCAATCTGGCGGTCCAGCACGTGGAGGAGTGTTACCATTATGGCAAGGAGCAGTGCTGTCATGAACTGATGGGGCAGCCCTTCGAAGCCATTGTGCCACTTTGAGTAGTAGCTGTGAGCTAGCTGCAGGCCACTGTATAGAGCCAAGTGGAATGTTGTGACAGCTAACATCAGCATCAGTTTGAGCAGGAAGCCAACGCGCAGGAACACAGAGATGGTCGCCAGTGACAGGACTGAGCCATACAGGTACGACTGCAATGTACAAGATTCCTGACAGGCACACCAGGACACTTCTTCTTTCTTATCTAATGCTTGCCTCTTGTACACATGGGAAACATGTGTGTGTCAGTAAGTTGCACACATTGTAAGAACATCAATCAGCACATTATGAATGCAGGGCTCTAGAGCTTCCAGCCTCCTTACTATACTCGTTATTTACCTTTCATTGTGGGACTCTCGGGGAGTTCTCCAACACACATCAGTACAGTAAAATGTGGACAATAGTTACAATTCCGAACAGGGTTTTGGACTATATATGCAGTGAACCCTCGACCCTTAACCTTACTTGAATCTATGTTTCCTTGAGTCTATGCAAGTTTTATTTGTCCTACCAAAACTTCCATATGAACAATCAAATGTTCCTGCATTATACTTTCATTCTTTCTAACAAATTTCTTGATTATGCATTCAAACAGTGCATAAACTGGCCTGTTGCTGTCATTTTAAGTAATCGTACTTTCAGTTGGAAAACAGATGGGGGGGGGGAATTTATTTTTAGTTGTAGGTTTCTACCTCATCTATTGTCTTCATGTGTACTCTTCCTTACTATTCTATGGCTTCCAAAGTTGTGCCAGCAGAGCGGAGACATGTTTCCCACCATGGCCATGTGTGGGTAATGATGAATGAGTTGTGATGCGAGTTATAAGTTCGACATGCTTAGTGTTGATTTTGAATCTACTGCTGATTGAACTGACGAACAATTTTAGTGGAGTTTCTGGTTGTGATTCATTTTTCATCAAAATGAGTGGACCAAAGACAAGGAAAAATGTTACCGTTTCAAGAATAAATGGACATTCTACCTTAACTAGATGGAAATAAGGAACCATATGCTGCACTGGCTGCCAGATTATGAATTGCACTGCAACATTGAACACTTCTTAATAACAGATGAGACAGCAAAAAGTGTTATGCATCATGTGGCATGTTCCCTGATCAAAGAAAGAGCCTGAAACAGTCAGTCGCCATTTTAAGAAACGGAGAGTTGCCTGTTAGAGGCATAGTTTAAATTTACTTTACTGGACATGTGGAAGAAGTGAACTACATTACATTTTTAATGCAATACAGTATTAATTTAATGCATTTAATTTCAATACCTACATAAATTATTGCTTCTTTAATTTTATGCTCATTTTAAATTGTCCCTTCAGAAATGTAAAATCCCTCTCCCTCTATGTCTGTCAGCCCATCTGCCTGAATGTGTATAATAAATGATTTTACCTGAATTTTTGTGAAACTGTAATTTGATTCTTGCCTAACTTCATACATACCGGTACACTTTTGACAAGACTGTCATCTACTGAAGACGCCTCCAAACTTAATGAGAGGAATGATGTTTGGTTGATGAATGCAGATGGTGTTGTAATACCTGGCAGGAATTTCAGCTCCATGTCCACCTATAGGAAATTAATCAGATCCAGTGACAATAGCAACAGTGTGTCTTCACAATGGTTTCATATGGCATTGAAAATCTGGTATGTATTGTCGCATGGTAAGTGCAACTATAGATGGGTTTTGGATTTACTGGACATACATAAAATCGTAACTATAAATAACTATGATAATTTCAGTGACGTACACACTCCAAAGATTACTGTAACTACAGCACACATAGATTTTTCTCAGTCTTCTTTTGCTGTTGCTTGGTAGCAGCTTCCAATGGTAGACGTTCCCCGTCCTCTGGGTTCCTGAACTGTCCCTGGTCTCAGCTACCAGATTCTCACTTTTCACAACTGCAACGCTGTGATGTGATATTCTGTACATATTTTCATCAATTTAATTATTTAAGGTTTATTTAGTGACACTATCAGTAGCTGAGACTGTGTAGTGGTAAATGATGGAGTGATTAATGGATAATGAATTTGAAAGGATGTGGAAGAAGAAGTCACAGTCTGTTTCAAATTATTATTCCAAAATGCGTGTCAAGAGGGACAGAGTGAGACTTCAAAAACCTCAGTCAGGATAGTTGGTGTCCCAGCCAAGTTTTGAATTGGACACCTCCTGAATAAAAGAACCTGAACCAACTTGCTCAGTATATTCCTATTAAATACTGAAGAGGAAAATTATATTTCTCTGACAAGAGAACTACTGGCATTTCCACATGATCCTGACAATACAACCTCTTATTATACTTAAGATAAGAAACCTGCACATCCCAAATACAAAGTTGGAGTAACAGCAAGTTCAGTTGCTCCTATAAGAAGTGCAGACAATAAAAAGCATTATTAAATAAAACAAAAGGAACAAACAAGACAGACTTTATAAAAACAAGCAATGAATCATCATGAAAGTGATAATTATGAACAACTTGCATCTGAAAGTCACATTGCTATAAAAACAAAGTCCTTAATGACTCTATATTACTACTATTTACACATCTGGTAATCAATTTACAAGCACTGAATCTATCAAATTTATTGTTTCACAGAACTATTAAAAGGGGAAATACAAGTAATATCAAAACCCATTACTGGATGTGATCCTGAACCAGCTCCAGCCCCCTCCCCATGCTCATTACATACGAGGGTCATACTGAAAGTCATAAGCAACAATTTTTTTAAAGTAACATGCTTTATTATTGACAAACCAAATACACCATCTCAATCTACAGACCTTTCTTTATTTTTCCACATAATCGCCACTTCCCAGCGTTCTAGGAATTTGAAAATTCCGTTCCAGCCACGAAGACACTGACGCACTGCTTTCTGAATTGTCTCCCTTGTCTGAAAACGTTGTCCATGCAGCTGATCCTTCACAAATACAAAAAGATGGTAGTTGGAGGGTGCCAGATCAGGGCTATAGGAGGGGTGTGGAAGAACTTCCCACCCCATTTTTGCAATTGCTTCCAATGTGAGGTGAGCGGCGTGAGGGCAAGCGCTGTCATGCAGGATGATGTTTCATCCCGGACGTTTATCGCGCAATGCACGACGGTGTTTGTGCAGCATCTGGACATAACGAGCAGCATTGATGGTTTGCCCAGGTTCCAGGAATTTGGCCAGAATAAATCCCTCTGCATCCCAGAAGACTGTGCCCATCACCTTCGCAGCTGATGGCACTGTCTTTGTCTTCTCTTTTGATGGAGAATGTAAATGGTGCCATTGCATACTCTGCCGTTTCGTTTCAGGCTCGAAATGGTGAAACCAGCTTTCGTCACCTGTCACAATATAGAGCAAAAAATCATCGCTTTCGTGTCGATATCTATGCACCAGTTCTGAGGTGATGGCTTTCGCTGACCTTTGTGGTCTTCGGTTAATAACCGCGCGACCCAACGAGCACAAATTTTCCTATAGCCCAAGCTTTCAATCATCTCCTGTAGTGCACGGTGCCCTATTCCAAGTTTTCGGGCTGTTGTGTCCACAGTCACATGCCTGTCATCTTGAATGATCTCATCCACTCTTTCCTTGTTGCGTTCAGTTGAGGCTGTTCAAGAATGACCGCTCTGAGGCTCATCTTCGATGATGGTGTTCCCATCTTTAAAATGTGTCACCCATCTTTGAACACTGCTCGCACCCATGCACACACTTCCATAAGCACGCTGAAGTCTCTGGTGAATTTCTGCAGCAGGGATTTCCTCTTTCACAAGAAATTCGATGACAGCATTCTGGCGAAGCAACATATTGTTGTCAGCCATTTTGTTAGGAGTGATACTGGTCACGTGACACAAGCTATTGAAAAATGCCTAGAATTACATGATTATTCTAACATAGTAGAGTTTATTCTTTGTCTTCCTGAAAGCAGAGCATCTGTAGAAACAATAATCTCTATTATGAATTCTATCTGGACCAAGGAGAAATCCCGACTAAGTGTTGAAACATTGAGAGCTATTTTGATAATAGGACTAAAGTGAGGCATCGAGTGTGATAAGTTCTATGACACGATATTGAAAGATCATAATTTGTTGCGTAAAGTAAGTTCATCAGAGAAATACACTTGGTATAATAATGATGACGACCAAGTGCAGCCCTCTACATCCATAGCCTAATATATGTATGGTTTCTGTCATGCTTGATTGTTACGAACTTAAAGTCTGCTGGCGGTTGCTCATCAGAGCGGCCCAATAATACCCTGTCCCATTTTGGTCACCCTCCTGTCCCGTTTTTGTCTGAAGAGAATATGGTCAGCCTACTCCAGAGCCATAGTGCTTCTGGAACGATTAGGTCAAATCAAAATTCGATGGCCTAATCGAAAATCAAACCTGCAACCTTTCGGCTTGTAGCATAGTGCCTCAACTAACTACACTACCATGTGCTCCTATTTAATATGACAAATCAACCATTTACTTCTTCTTCCTTAGGCTTTTTCAATTTCAAAATCTCGTAACAAGAAGTCAAACGCCACATGCATGCAAGAAACGTAACTGTATAGAGACATGGCTGCAGAGAGAGCAGCACTCACCAGAGAGACAACAGCACAGGATGCTATGAGCACCACGGATATGAGGAACATGGCCAGTCGAATCCATCGGCTGCTGGAAATGACCTGATCGGTGCAGAGACCGGAGTCATAGTCCCCAGTGTTTCCTCCAGCTGCAGGAGTCATGCTGGTGGGTCTGCGACGAATGCAGAATCCATCCATTGAGCACAGATACAGGAATATGAGGAGAACCATGAGTGTCGCTCCATATGCCCCCCAGAGTGCTATGGTCCTGCACACACCAAAGAGGAACACTGGAGTTTCTCTTCAGAGGAATGCCAGGATACCTCATGATCACCCTCTTCCAAATCCCTATTTACTCACTATTCACAATCCCCTTCCCATCTGTTCTGCAAGTCCATATAATATGTACAAACAATAGCATATAGACTTAATTTCTGTTGTAATAGAACTGAGGATATCCTGAAATTGGGGCAGCATGCTTTTCTGAAATGCTGGTACCCATGTATCCAGAGGGTCCCAGTTCAATGTCAGTCTAGTACTTACCTGGGCATGGTAGCCACCTGTATAGCAGCCATGCACAGGAACAATGCTGTGGCACAAAGAACATAATACTGGAAGTGGGGGTCAGGTTGATTCCGGTAATCTGTTTCCTGGTGTGGCTTCCGAAACCACAGCAGCACTGGGTTTAGTTCCTCTGAGCTAAGCCACTTCCTGCACATCAAACACAATAATTGGTTTCATTTATACCTGCACTGCATCACTGTGCTGTGCTTCTCAAGTATTAACATGTAAGTCACTGATTAAACAGGAAGCAACTAACACACACTTACAGGTTGTGGCAATAGTCTGAACATATACCATAATGTCTAAGCCTTAGAACTATAACAGACAGTCACTAACAGAATTAGTCCTGGCCAAAACAATTTACTTACTTACTTACTTATGGAGCTGAGCTCTTCTTGAGAAGAAGCCAAATCTCCAGCTACTCAAGAATTTCCCAGCATTTTATGGAATCCGAAGGTACAATACCTTTCAGAGTACTAAAGACAACCTTCATGGACCTCCAAAGTTTTATTTCCAAATCCAGGACAAACCCTCAAAATCCAGTAACTCCAATCATTTAACCTTTGGATAAGGAGTCCCTTACTTGACAGAGAAGTGTCCAGGCTGTTCATAATTCATGATACACAGAAACAAGTTCAACGGGACAGAAGAAATCACTGAATGCAAACTTTCCACACCACAAATGGCACTGTCAGCTATCCCAGGCTTTACTAACCTATGAATGTGCATATCAGGGTGAAGCCTCCTTGTAAATAGACAACAGTACACAAAACAAAATGAATATCTGTTTACTCTTGTTAAGACAATGTGAGCTCCTTCCATCAGACAACCACTGACTAACAGTTCTAATTTCTGGGACATAACACCCTGCAGTCAACTGGCATTTGGGAGGAACACGTTGTACCCGCCCTTTTCAGGGATCCCTTCTTTGGTTCAAATCCAAGTTGAATGTAATTCATTTCAAATGTTCACTCTATACATGTTTCGAACAAGTGTTAAGAAGTGTTAGTGAATCAAATATGGAGGTAACAATTCTGTTTATTAGAAGCAGGATGTGGGTCATAAACTGCTCCAGTTCAGAATTTAAGATGTTTTTCTCAATTTGGGGTTTATGGCTTCTTTTCAAGTGTTATAAAATTGTAGCTTTGAAAGATGCTGTGCACCACAGAGGGAAAGGAACAATAACAATCAGTTCCACGTCACATCCCCACGTAGATTCTTTTGTTTACACTGCTATCCAGTCCTGTGTATATGCCCTAAGAACTCATGCTTTAGACTAATCTCTAAACATATTCCCCGAAAGTTAAATAAGTTAAAGAGGGAACGGTTACAATGTACATTAGACAATTAGTCATTAATAGTTCCACTTTCTTGGACACAATGCCATGTAGTCTACTGAAAGTCAACAAACCTCCCAGAGGACTACACTGCATTACACCTCAGAACTCTTAATAACCATTACAGTGACAACCTCAAACCTAAACTAGTCATTAATTTCACAAGTGTTAATCACACTGTGTGCTATCTCCTACTGACTAAATAAAGAAACAGTAATAGCAATTCCCATGAAGGTAAGTACAAGTAATATAAATTTTTACCAATTATGACTTCTGCTTCTGCAAGATGTAATGTACATCCAGTTTATGGTTTAGGGCGTTACCAAATTGGTTTCATAATGCAAATGATTGTGAGAGGGAGAAGAGGCTCTTCAGCATGACAGACAGTCTTTTTGAAATCTCCAGAATTAGTTCCTAACCCACATCTTTCTCCCCCCCCCCTCAGGAGAACTCTTTGAGTTAGTGCTACACAATATTTAATGTCTTCAAAGAAAGACGTTCTGTTCAAATTATAAATTCTTTTCTCTCTTATTTTACAGAAGAAACATACCTAAGTTCTTAAAAAATAATAAACTAACTAACTTCATGTAAAATAAAAGACTAGATTTCCATAATGTTAACTTTGTAAGATATAGCCTCAACGTTTTGATCCTTTGGTTGGTTTATCATTCTCAACATAGAAATGAGTTCCATATAAAACCTGTAGATCAATCTCCATACAAATCTGACCTACCTACCTGAATACTAGGCACAAAATTCATAAGACTGCACAAAAGTGCATAAAATTTTGGTAGCAAGTGTCATTCCATCTCTGATATTCACATAACTGTTTGGATTAAAGTAGTGTGTTCCCTATGCATAATTGCATCACCCCATGAAGATGATTCTTAACCCTAGAACTAGACAGGAGTGAGCAGGCAACTTCACGCCATTACGGCTCTGTTTCCCACCCAGACTCTTATCCTTAACGGACGTGGCATTTCTTCCAGTTCCCTGCTCATGCAGTCCATAGCCTTGTCACTAAGCTCACTGACCTATCTTGCTGCCGTTGTTAAGGCTGGGAAATTTTAAGCACATAAAGGTGGGTTGACACCAACTGTCATGCTTTTCAAGTGGGGAAAAGATGGGTGCAAGATGTCCGTCTGTTGGCCCTTATGTGAGACACACAAGGCTGTACCTTGCCACTTACTTGCACTCCAGGCAGGCATTCTTGCTGGGTAGCAGGTTGGATTCAATCATAGAAATGCTCTGGAAAAAAAAGGATACACAGCAGTTCAGTACTTGTCATTTTAACTGCGAGATAACTTCCTGAACAGGCAACTGCACCATTTCGGAACATGTACCACTGACTTTCTGTGTACAGCCATGCAAACACAAGCTGCAGCAGAGTGATAACATCAGACTCAGCAACGTTTTAGGTGAATTTCTTGAAATAATTCAGTTATATGCAAATATTGTTGCACAAACTCTCTGTATTTTATTACATCCTATAACATTTAGGCTTTGAATTAATATCAGACTGAACCAAATGAAAATAGGTATTAATCCTGCATAAGTACAATGTATACAATTTTTCACGGGGCTGGATTGATATACCTAATGAACGAAACTTGCACATGGTTATATTTTGTATAGGTCATAGAACTGCTATATATAAGGTTTCACCAACGTTTGTCAGAGTTTACTGAATATATGAATTATTTTCAATTCTGATAGCATGGATTTTAAAATTAACTCAAATGAAAGGAAATAAAAATGGTTTTTATTTTGGATAGGTTTACCAGAACATGTTAAAGGAGTCAGTAACGTAGTTTGGGTTGACAAAAACAAGGAACTTCTTATGTTAGAGAACTTCATTATAGTTCGAATATAATATATGTAGGTAAGTCAATAAGTAAACTACAAATGGATACAGAATTTAAACAAATAAGAGTACTGATTTGAAAAATACTTTTATTTCACAACATAATCTCCCTGTACATTGAGGCACTTGTCCCATTGTTTCACAAGCCCCTGAAAACCAGCAGCATAAAATTCTCTGGGCTGCTGTCAGAACCAGGCGGTGACTTCCCTTTCTACAGCTCTCTACAGCATCACTTTCCTGGAGGATGGTGTCACCTTAAACATTTTTTTGACAGGCGATGCAGGATGTTTCCACTGCATGGATCCATGCTTTGTCTCGGGCTGATAATCATGAACCAAAGACTCATCACCTCTGACAATTTGGGCTAGCATATCCTGTCTTTCATCGTGGTAGCAACTGAGAAGCTTTAATGCCAGACCCATTCTTTTTATTTTGTTTTGTGGGGTCAGCATGCACGGCACCCATTGTGCGCAGCCTTTGTGAAAACCTAATCTGTCATGCATTATGAGGTAGGCCATACCATGTGAACACGCCTGGTTCCGACAGCAGCCCAAAGAATTTTATGCTGCTGGTTTTCAGGGGCTTGTGAAATGATGGGACAAGTTCCTCATTGTACAGGGAGATTATGTTGAGATATAAAAGCATTTTTCAAATCAGTACTCTTATTTGTATAAGTTCTATATCCATTTGTAACTTACTTCAAAACACATGTGCATTCTGGTTGGGTGCCTAAGTTGTGGTGTGAAGAGTAGCAGGGTCTACTGCATTATTCCACTGTACGTTGCAAGTAGTGTTAGGATAAGAGCGAGCAACAGTATATTCCTAACATCAACAAAGCAACTGAACTTTCAGCATGCACAATGTACAGGAGTACTTCTGAGTACATAAGTGCACTATGCTGGAAAAATGCAGACTTTTTTAAATGTTGAATAAAACACATGGTACATTCTTTACCACTGTGCTTTGAAAAGTTAACTATGAGGTGGATGGAGACAGTAATATTACTGCTGCTCCTGCAATCATGTATTGGCTTTTGACTGTGCACAGTATCAGCATAATAAATATTATTGCGAGAACTGTGTTTTCACATTCAAAGCATCTTGCAGGCCTCTTGAGAGGAAAAGCATCTGGAGAGCACTCCGCCATTTTCTTTGCAGATAAACGCATGGCATTCTTGTTGCATGTAACTAAACACTCTTGTCTGTTCCCAAAAGTCACTTTATGGCAAAAATATATACATTGTGTTACTTCCCATACAAATTTTATTCAATGCATACTGCCTTTCTTTGCCACAGCACTGTGTTGCGTACTGTCCTTATCTAGCCACTGCCAACACTGCAGAAGGGTACAGAACTTGTAATCAGGAACTGAATGTTATCAAAAGAAACAGCATCAGTACTTTGTTACAGAATGCATATAATGTTAGACTTGAGGCTGTAACTGTGGTGGTTATGAAGAGATGCAGCAAGCAGAGTTCTGCTTGCTGTTTCTTGCCACTTTCTTGCTTGCATTACTCTTCGACCCTGAGATCTATTCTTCTGAAACATCAGATGACTGTCATCAATGCAGCATTATAACTCAGCAGAGACAACTGTTCAAATGTGTATTAAGTTGATGGTGAATTGTGTTAAAACTGTGGGAAAAAAGTATCTAAAAATGTGAAAAATTTAAAGCATCAAGTCAGAAAATACTGTATGTCATGAAACTGGATACGTTTACACTAACATGGTGGTTATAAAATACTCACTGTGAGGCCAATGTTCTTTGCCAGTGTACTTTCTGTGATGTTGGCAAACGGCTTATCGGCACCCCAGCACTCTACATACTTTGTCATTTTTGATGGTGACCGGTTCCTGAGTCCAGCTTGATCTGCTTTCAGTGCTGAATTTGAGATGGAGGAGCTCCGTGTGCCATCTTCTGTTTTCAACTTCTGTAACGCAATGAACCATAAGTAGATTGAGTTAGGGGCAGTCCTCTCTCCTGACAATGATATCTCTGAGGCCTATTTATAAATTAATATGTATCTTTATTTATTTGTTTATTAAAAATGTAGTTATAGCAGATTTGTTAATAAAAAGATGTGGAATGAAACACTATATTGTTTGGTTTTGTGCAGGTTTTAACAGAAATTAATTTGAAAATTAACTAAGTTGTTGTATTTAGACTTTTGACGGGTCAAACAGGAAGTGAATTCATGCTTGGGGCAGAGAAGGAACGTTACACCCAGAGCTAAAACGTCACACGAACTGTTAACACAATTAAGTGTAAGGAATGAACAGAATCAAAACAAAAGAGTGTGGAGAAGGCCACAATTTAGGCCACGCCATAGCTCAAGTGGTTAGTCGCTGGCTTCTCACCGCAGGGGCCCGGGTTCAATCCCGGATCTGGTCAAGTGGGATTTGTGGTGGACAAAGCGGTGCTGGGGCGGATTTTATCCTTCGGTTTCCCCTGCCAATCTTCATTCCACCAAATTCTCCATCATCATAATCACCCGGAGCAAGCTACAATAGGCCAATCAGTGGCCGCAGTTGAACTCCACCCCCCCACTAAGCGAATTAAGAAAGAAAAGCCATAATTTAAATTCCAGAAACAGCGTATATTAGAAAGCTCTTCCAATGATATCATAAATTTGAAAATTTACATAAATAGCTTCGAAACGGCTGTCTTGGCGCGGTCTTGAACTCGTTCATGGAGGGACAATCCCTGCATTGTTTTGCGATTGTGAAGATGCCAATTAAATGCGCTCATATTTTGAGTGTAGCTATAAAACATCATAAATAGATCACAAATCGTTCATATGCATCAAAGCAAATTATTTGATTTTAATAGAGTTTGACATGAATAAATTTAATATTAAAGTTCACTAGCATGATCAGAAACAATGTAATCACAGTATGTCTGCTACCATCGGCGGTAGAATATAACTAACTTGTGCATTAAATGAGTACTTTGTTGGGATAACCCTAACAATGGATTATCATCCAGTGAAACTTCTGGCCACCCTACAGTACGCCCACAATTTCCCAGTTAACGTGTGCAGCCTTCTCTCATGCGATTCCCATTAAACCTTGTAATACAAAAATCATGCCCATTACTGTGGCCGCACGGCCTGAGGCATGAACAGCCATCGCCCGTTCAGACACTGGCATTTGTCTTTTCATTGATTTAAATAAAGGCCCTACCGTGATGTATTTTATATATTGTGACATATTTGCACTATGCAGGACACCCCCTCTCCGCCAGCGGTGACGTAACACCTTCGGAGCGTTGCCGCTGCTACGGTAATAGGCCAGTCAACACCCCGCCTCCTCCCGCGGTGACGTTAGCAAGGGATGCACCGGTTGCTACAGAGGAGTAAACAACTCTCGAAATGTTGCTAGGCAACCTGTAAACACGGCGTCAGGCAACAGCGGTACCTATCACGTAACTGTTTTCTGTGTTGTCCGTGCCGAGGCTAAATAAGGAGCAGCGAACACTACTCAGTAGTGAGTGAGTAGTGAGTATTGAGTCATTAGGGAGTGAGGATTGAGCCAGTTATGAGTGAATGACACTGACTGCAGCAGAAGCAGCAATTGTGATACTGCAGATGGCAGTAGTTGTGAGATCGTAAATTGTGTAATTGCGAGAGCGAGTGCAATAAATTCGCTATATCCAATACGGCGAAAGTTATTTGTCGCGTTATACACCGAACACGTGACAATATTTTCATCAGCACTACTTTTTTTTACCTTGGCACTAGAGCCCCAGTGGGCCTAGGCCTACCTCCATGAACTTCTCCGTTTACTTCGGTTTTTCTGGATCTTACACGTTCGGTAGGACTCCTTGGCCGAGTGATCAGCTCGTCGCAAGGCCTCTACCTGTACACAAATACAGAAAAACGCACACACACAAACTAAACATCCATGCCCTGAGTGGGATTCGAACCCACGATCCCGGTTTCCAAGCGAGCTAAGACAGTACATGTCTTAGACCGCTCGGCTACCGTGACCGGCATCAGCACTACCTATATTATTAAATTTTCCATTTATTTCTTTTAGGGCTATATTTTGATTCAGTCACACGGATTATCGCTTAATCCGGATTAGCTAGGGGTTTACTCTCTGTATCTGCACATCGTAATACCTGCTACAAAGGAATTAGTGTAATCCGACTTATATATCATATCACGTGGCCATACACGAGGCCGTGAAATTGTCACGCATAAGCAGATTTGTGTAGCATTTTGTGGGCTGATATTTAAATACCGACTCTGGCGACATCGTCATCATTATTTATGATACTGTTCATTGTGCACATACAGTGAACTTTTTCCATTTGTCACATGAAATACCCAGACTGTAGTGACAGGATATTAAGAGACTAGTAAGGTAACAAGGTAAAGCTATCCTTGTAACAGACCGTCGAGGCCCCCACATTTTCTAGACAATCGGCTCACAGATGGCTGTAAAGTTGTCAGCCTTACGCGTCGGACGCCTTTTACACCGAGGAATATTCCTGGTACTCATTTCTGTTAGAAGTTGGGTCGACCCCGGGGCCATAGTACGACTGGAAAGATTAGGTCTACTGAAGAAGAAAAAAAAAACAATTATTTCATCGGGAATCAAAACCGCAACCTTCCGGATTGTAGCACAGTGCCTCAACCAACTACGCTACGGCTTACGTACGGTTACGGACCGCTGTAGCTACTGCGCATTCCCCATTGTAGACTGAAGCTTCCAGATGAAGTCTCTAGCCCTAACCCCGCCACTAATTCTGAAGCAGGAGACGAGGCCTCGATGTCCCAGAGTCCTATGGGCCTCCACGGCCTGTTACAGGGATAGCTTTACATAAAACAAAACACGTAACATTTTACGATGCAAGTCCTTGTTTCAAATACTCTCCGATTCGATAAGGTGTACACTTAATGAAACACAATTGTGCTTGGCTTGATAAGAGACACACGGCTTCTGATGAGAAGCATGACGACAAAGGAAACAGCTGCATTTAAGTACAGAGGACGTGATTCCGTGCAACCTGGTAGAAGCTAGCCGAAATTTTGAAGGGGCCTGCTTCCTATATATTCAGGGTCAAAAGAATACAAGACAAGGTCTGTTACTTCGACTTTGAAGATGGGGGCAGTGCATTTCTCCAAAATGTCGGTAAACTTCCACCTGACCACACGGCGTCACATCCCACAGAACAGTTACCTTAACTGTCACTGCCGTGAGACTCTGTGATATTTCGACCCCTTAAAATAAAATATAGGCATACTTCGGAGATATTGTAGGTTCGGTTCCAGATCACCGCAATAAAGCGAGTCACAAGAATTTTTTGTTTTTCCAGTCCATATAAAAGTTATGTTTACACTATACCGTAGTCTGTTAAGTGTGCAATAGCATTATAACTAAACAACAATGTACATACCTTAATTAAAGATACATTATTGCTAAAAAATGCTAAACATCATCTGAGAATTCAGCGAGTCACAGATCACCATAATAAACGTAATAATAATGAAAAATTGCGAGAATTACCAAAATGTTATACAAAGACACGAAGTGAGCACATGCTGTTGGAAAAATGGAGCCGATAGACTTGTTCGTCGCAGGGTCGCCACCAAATCGCAGTATCTGCGCATGCCTGTAGAGATTCACATGCAGTGTTTCAGGTTCCCGTCAGGCTGTGCGGCGACAACAGTGCCTGCAGTTAAGTTCTAGTATTTAGAAGTGACAGTCCAGGTAAAGCTGCGCAGTGGATGGCAGGTCCATTCGTGAAAGTTGAGGGGTGTTGTGATTAGTCATTCGTCTGCATTCAGTGGGACCTGACGTCTCAAGCGCATTCTTCCTTGTACAGTCAAGTTAAAAAGTTCTGACTCTTGGAGTCGTATTTCTGTGTATTATTCTCTATTTACTGCATTAATATTTTATTTCATTTTTATTCGTTTTCTTTTTTGTTTATCTATATTTGTACATTTTTTCTATCTCCTTTAACATGCCACCTACACGAAGTAAATTGAGTGGAAAAGTGTTACATTCACAATCAAGAGAAATTGTTAGTAAAGTATATGAAAGAGGGTGGGCCAAAAATTACAGTGAAGAACAAAGGAGTGGAAGTAGCTAAGGCAACAGGTGTATCGGAAAGTAGTGTCAGAAGAATAATAAGAGAAACAAAAAATATCGAATCTGGGGCTTCCACCTCCTTTTCGACACCCCATAAAGGAAGACCTAGGAAATCTCCACTACTCACTTTGGACGACTTTAACGAGTCTGTGGTGCGAAGAACAATTAATGACTTCTACATAGTCGAAAAACGGAGACCTACCCTGAAAAAAGTTCACGAAAAGTTGAAGAAAACGTTAGATTTTCAGGGATGCATCTCCACATTAAAGAAAATTATTTTGAAACTGGTGTTCCGCTGGAAGAAAACAAAAAATAATCGGCAGATACTGCCGGAACGATATAATATCAGTGCCGAACGTCTTCAGTATTTGCGGCAAATTAAAGAATATAGGGCAGAGGGCCGTCCAATCATCTACATGGATGAAACCTATATTCATTCATCGCACACCACCCCATATGCATGGAGTGATGGATCCATCCAGGGATTATTTTCCCCTGTGTCCAAAGGCCAACGGCTCATTGTTATCCATGCAGGGGGGGAGCAAGGTTTCATCCCTAATGCCTATGTCCGCTTCAAATCCCACCAAAAAACAGGAGACTACCACAGTGACATGAACTACACCAATTATGAAAAATGGTTAAAGGAGCGACTTATTCCTAACCTTTCCCCAAATTCTGTCCTTGTCATTGATAATGCTCCCTACCATAATGTACAGCTAAACAGAGCCCCTAACTCAAATTCAAGAATGGATTTTATGATATCCTGGCTAAAATATCACCTTCCACCTATTACTTTCAATAACATTGATTTTTCATCATTGCGGAATCCAGACATATATATGATCCTACTACACAAACCGAAATACCTTTCCTATAAAATAGATGGAATCTTTGCACAACACAATCACAATATTTTACGACTCCCTCCGTATCACCCAGAACTCAACCCAACTGAGTTAATATGGGCCACCGTAAGAAATTGGGTTGCTCAAAATAATACCACATTTAAGATGGATGACGTCGTTAAACTGGCAGACTAAAAATTTGCTTCCATAATTGCAGAAGAATGGCAACATAGGTGCCAACATGTAAGGAACATTGAGCAACAATTAATGGCACGGGAAGGCCTTTTGGACGCAGGACGGGAGTTCGTCTTCCATGTTGGCGGTGATAGTGATGACAGTTTTGATGATAGCTCCGATTCATCTGCTAGTGACGAGGAAAGACAGGCATGTGGAGATGATATCTATGCGGACACTGCCGGTGTTGCCCCTTTAGAATAGACCCGTATAATATGTAAATAAACTCTTCATGTGTATAACAGTGTATAGTGCATAATAGTCGGCCATTCGGCATTTAACACTTAACATTGGATGCGTGAACATGAACGAGACTAAACCAGCATCACTATGCAACACAATGAGGTAAGAAGTTATTTCCTTTTGAGAACGCCTGTACTGCATTCCCCGCCCCTACCAATACTTCTACTCCGCGTCGGAGGACTGTCAGCTCTAAGTACTACAAACTGTTCCTGTACAGCTATACAAGAATTCGCGAAATGCTTCGTCGGTCGATTCTTCAATTTCAGAAAACATCTACAGCAAACCCTCGCTAATCCGGTTACAGTTAATCCGGACGTCGGATAATACGTATCGAAATATGAAGAATGTTGCTCACAGTAGAGTACATACTTCAAGAGACACATGGTATTTAGGAAGGCAGATGAGTCCATTTGTCTGTTCAGACACAACTTGACAAGTGTCTTCAAACCTGCATTATTACTTATTATTACTTCTGACTATTCTGTAGATAAATAAATAAATGTAATGTCTTTTTATAGTTTTAAAATAAACACTTTATTGTGATATTTTTATTTATTTTCATTATCACTATATCTTCAATTAATTTTTCTTCTAAGCTTTTTCTGTCTTTTAGGCGTACCATTTGCTCAATTAATCCGGATGACATCTCCCCGCAGTTACTACCGATTAGCGAGAGTTTGCAGTATATGAAATCTTACTAAATTGCAGCTGAAGCACAATAGACCACTGTAGGTCGCGGTGCAAGGGCGGAGAAGGCCCACCCCTTATACATTACTGACTTGCAGAAACTGTTCTAAATAATTCTTGAGAACCTGCTGCCCCCCGGCGCCAGATCGCGAACCCAGTTCTTGAAATCTACTGACCGCTGGGGGTACGATCAGGAACGTCTCCACCTTGTGGTCCGCCAGGTAGCCTTCCCTCTGGCCACCGTCACCAGCTTCAACCTGGAAGCGGTCATTTAGCTGCAAGAGCGTTGCCTTGGTGATGTGCACACGTCTGAAACACACGACAAGGCACATGAGTGAAGAGGTAACAGTCCTGTCGCTCAGGGTTATCACGTATTCGGCCTGAGGCTTTCAGCAAATGTATTCCAGCGCAAAGCAGGCCGTTCCACAGCACTGTGAAAATTCGTTTGGATTTAAGTTGGCGGCAGTGATTGTTTATATTTATAAAACAAGTACAGTTAGGCCGCGCCATAGCTCAAGCGGTTAGTCACTGGCTTCTCACCCGGCCTCGGGTCTGGTCATGTGGGATTTGTGGTGGTCAAAGTGGCGCTGGGGCGGGTTTTCTCCGAGTACTTCGGTTTCCCCTGCCAATCTTCATTCCACCAAATTCTCCATCATCATAATCACCCGGGGCAGGCTACTTTGGGCTAAACAGTGATCGCCGTGCCGAGTTGACCCAGTTGGACTCCACCCTCCGCTAAGCGAATTAAAAAAAAAGTAAAGTTATCTCTCTGTTTATTGTCATAATACATACAGTCCATTACAGCACAAGTTCCTGAAATTGGATTGTTTCGACTATAATGTCGTCCTCAGGGTTATGTATACGAGTACATAAGACACTAACGTGTTATTTTTCATGATTTTACATAATTTTACATTTTAATATTCTCGCAGCAGTCTTACGTGTAAATTAATAATTTTATTTACAAACAACGTCTATTATAATTCCTGTATGCTTTGCATTATCCTTTTGTGTTACTATGTATGTACTTTGAGGATGACAAAGTAAGTGTCGAAACATGTAGGGAAAATGACGAGTTCCATCTAATTTCAGTAAGTTGTGTTGTTGCTTGACTGTTCTAAGAAAATAAACGTTATGCATTAAATGGTGCACACAATTCAACAACTCAACATCAAACCCGTAATGTCTTGTGCGCAGCACGGGGCTGGGTTTCGACTGTCCGCGGGTTAGCTCGCGACGCAGTTCAGCAGCAACGACGCACACCGATGACGCGTCTTTCGCTGTGAGAAAGCACTCGTGGCGTAACGTGACGCTGTAACAATTTTCCTTTCTTTGGGTCCCGATGAGGTCACTGGATTTCTCAAAGGATCTCGGGATAGCGCAGTCGGTATGGCGACTGGCTACGGTGTCGTGAGGATCGAACCCTTATCCCTTTGTGGTGTATTGATTTTAGGCATTTCCCTATAATATAATATGTATAACCTAATGACAATAATAGTAACGATAATATTCACGGGTAGGCCACATCTGACACCCTAGACTTGACTGTAATGTATACAAGTACAAGAAAATGCTAAACTTAAGATGTTTTAATGTACTTGGTGTGTAACAGAGGATTTCCTGACACACACGCATAACAGGTGTTTATTTTCAAGTATAGCACCAACTGTATTTGCTGACTGAGGGACCAGGTACTTGACTTACGTTAACAGAAGGGAGAAATGTTTTATTTCTCCGAGTAATTAAGGTATTTCCGGTGATGCGTGTATGCCTCGGTTCTGCTATTATTTAGGTAGGAGGGGATAACTTTCCTCTGGTTTTAGGCAGCCGATAACATCATACGTGGATGGACTTGGAGCACACGCATCATGCCACCTGCGTAAACATTACCCGACCCGCCCCAAACTGGTTTGTATATTAACGAGGGTAGCGCGGTCGCGGAAAACTATTATTACAGTAGTGACAGTAGCAGAAGGACTGCGGTCGAGTCTCGGCTTGATATATTTGTATACGGCATGTAGTTACCAGAAGCTATAACAAATATCATTTGTTCTATCCTATCTTCTTTGTTGCAGGACTTTGAATATCTTCCACGTACAGCGATTGAACTTCAACCCTCATCCTGATTCACAACTACAGCACCCGTCGAGGATACACAGCTCTCGGCGAACCCATAAATAAAATTGTTATAAGATTGTTGGCTGCTGGAACCAGGCTCGCTATCCAGCCCAGACCAACACTTATAACATGGTGGCAGCGGTGGGATCAGCCTCCCTATCCAGCCAACCCAGTCCTTATAACAACGGCCTGGGCGACCGAGGGGTCGGGCTTCGAGTTCCGGTAGGGTCAAGAACTTTCACTCCTCCACCTAGTCCTGATCGGCTCTGGGGTCCACCCAAACTCCTATACAATGGGAACCGGGCGCTCTTTCCCCGGAGGTAAAGTGACGGGGGCGTGAAGTTGACCACTCACCTCCAACTAGTGCCGATTAGTGGAATTAATTTTTCGTTATCAAGGCTAGGTCCAATAAACCTGCCAAATTTCGTAATGTCGTACTGTGAATTCACCGTACATTTGGCATGCCTTGAGTTTCTCGCAAAGTAATTCGAAGAATATTATATTCTGGAATGTGACACCGCGTAGCTCTTCATGTTTGCTTGCTTGGCTCACTTTTAAAGTCTGAAGATGGAGTCAGCGCATCCCTCGGAAACGCTGCTGAACTCCTGGCGGACTGCATCCATCCCAGAAGACAATACTCTTCAAAGCTGGTACACGTTCCAGAGATGGCTTTAACAGTTCCCCACGGATGGCTCCAGTATATGAAATTTTATTACAGATAATTTATGCATAATGTGGCGTATAGAACAGTTGCTAGGCAAAGACCTCGAAACAAACAAGACAACAGCCGTTGCTATGCAACGACGAGGGACACACGCCTCTACAATAGATTTACTGTTGGAAACGGTGTTTTCTACTCGGTCCGTGCAAAGGGTTTATAAGGAAGACAACTGGGGCGACCGATTCTGTTGAAAGTCAGCCTGTAAAGAAAAGAATAACTAGGAGGTTAGTGTGAAAATGCCGCCAGCCTGGAATCCGTTTAGTTGAGAGTTGATGTCTGCACGAGAGTCTGTGAAGAGGAGAATTTATGCGTGATATCTTGAGTATGTAATTCAGTGAGACTGTAACATTTTCTGTGTTAAAATCCGTTCCTAGGAAACGGCCAGTGGAGACTAACACACTGTGTGTGTTAGTCTGTGTGTGTTTGTGGCAGTGATCTGTGGCGTGCGGTCACGAGTCGTGAGTGTATAAGTGATCAATAAATCGAGTCACGAATTTGAACCTCGTCTGTAGTCACCCCCAATCGTGACAATATTAACAGATTACGCATGTTTTGGTGACAGCGTTCAGTTCTTCTGCTGTAACTTGTTTCTTCAGCGACAGGACATTTCATACCTCGGTCAACACACAAACGAAAGCATTCTATTTTTCTGTTGAGCTATATCGGTCATCTGCAGCCACTGCATTTTTAAACAGTTTCTGGAAATGTCGTACGATGATCGGTGACCGAAGGCAGCAGTCAACGTACCACGAACCGTTGGAGCAACGGCAGGGCGAAGTCGTGACGTGTGTTGGTTGGCAACAGATCAGGCTCACCTCCATCGCCTCCCTCGCTGGCCCACATCCATGCAGCGCGCGGTGCACAAACACGCGTCAGTTTCGTCGTACAACAACCTGGTGTGTTTCTTTATTAGATTATATACCGATGCTCTCTCAACTGCAAAGGTTATACAGCTCAAAATGAAGTGACGACTGCGGCGGCTGTCCCGCGACAGGAAGCAACTGCGAAACAGTAAACCCTCGCTAATCTGGAGTAATTGGGTTATCCGGATTAAGCGATAATCCGGGTTAGTGAAGCAAATTGTAGCCCTAATAGGAAAATAAACTTAGAACGCAAATAAATCGAAAACTAGTGATGTCAGTAGAGCTGATGAAAACAAAAAAATAAATATTGTGGCATATAGACCTGTTGCTAATCGGTGAATACATAAAAAGTGGCCGTTTCTGGGCGACGGTGTAAACATGTCCCCGTTGCTAGGCAGCAGATTCTTAATAATGTAACAGTTGGACTACAACAATGGATGAGCTATATGTTTTCTACGTGGTCCCTGCCGAGATGTTATAAGCACTGGACAAAATCAGTTCAGTAAATTCCCGTGTGGAGGCGGGGTCGAATACCTCCATCGTGACCCTGCGAGTCATAGGAGACGACGAAAATGGAAGTCCTAAAACTGAGACAGTAAAGTATGATCGCGAGCCCCAAGGGACTAGGAACCGGGAAAGACTGACTGGCAAGGGCCAGCAGCATATACAAAAGACACACCCGTCCTCTCATCGGAGATGGCGCCCCCCAGCACCAAGGTTTACTGATTGACTGACCGTCAGTCGCAATGTGACGTTGACTTTTACTTTGGTTGAGTAGAGTTCTGTGTGGGAGTCTGTGAAAAGACCTGAGTGCGGGAAGCTTAAGAATTTCTACTGTTGGAAGCCGTTGCCAGGGAGCGGTCTGTGAAGAGACAGGCTGGAAAAGGCTTAGCGCATGCTGTGGTGATTTGCAGTGGCGCTGAAATTGCTTGTGGTTCGGAGTCGTGTGTACGAGTATAGGTTTTCAATAAATCCATTCATAAATCTGAACCCCGTCTATAGAAACGCATACTACGTAGCTGTATCACTGTAGAGCTTTCATTTAAAAAAACAATATATTTATTCATCGACAGAAGTCTCAGAAGTTGTATTTTGTTTTTTAACGTAAATGCAGGTTTGAGACTGTTCCTGTCTCAAGTTTTGTCTGAACGGACAAATGACTCATCTGCCTTCCTACATGCCATGTGTCTTTTGAAGTGTGTACTCAACAGTGAACAGCATTTTTCATTTCTCATATTTCGATCCATGTAAACTGTAACCGGATTTGGGGGGGGGATTACAGTATTTGTAATGTCATGGTTATTGGAGCAAAACGTCGAGCATTAGGGTACTTGGCTTCCAGGGCCAGAAACGAACTCAGGACATTACACAAACTTGGCGACTCTCACGTAACAGCCCCATCCATGTCTCGTGAAAACGCTGAGACCTAACTCCAAGGATCAGGCTCATTAAGAAGGTAGTGGTCGCTCAGCTGCTCAAGAAAATACCATCTTTTGTGGGACACGAAGTTGGATCAACGTAAAGACTTCTGGGATGCGTCACAGTTCTGATGCCGTGAAGATGGAAACAGTACGTCTACCCGAAAGTCGGTAAATCCCTGCTGTGCTGCATGACGTCACATTCGGTATCTTCATAATCATCGCAATGAGAGCCTTTGATCTCACAAAAAGTTGACAAAATTCGGTACGGGACCCTGTCCAAATAATTACGGTTGACATTTTCTTGAGGGCCCGTTTTAAAATTAATCATCCCATCCACGCCTACATCTTCCAAAAGGTGTTAAGTGCTGGACTGCCACAAATGGCTACTTTACATAAGTCACTCATGTTCACATGCTCTAGGATGGACGTTTATTGAATGTGAATAAAGCGCTTGTGGAACACACAACAGGAAGGAAACGAAGTTATCTGGACGCAGGATGAGATGTTTATTGGACGTGGTATGTCGCAAAACGCTGCACACGGAGGCTAATTGCTTTCTCCATGTTGTGCGCATGAGCAACAGAGCGGGAAGCTCTGCGTGTAAAGCACGGATAAAGGAGCTGAATTTTTCTGCTCACGTATCAAGACGCTCCCAGTCTCTGGACCATGGCGAGTATATGGCGTCGTTTGGCAGGACTGATGAATCAGTGATGAAATGAAAGGATCTGAAAGGACGCGTTAGTGACTTACTAGAGGGAATTATTGCGGCGTTTGCCTGCGGGTCCTGAGAAAAACACGTATCCCCCCCCCCTCCCCGAGTCAGGATGGCCCGTGTCCAGGCCGAGATTCAAACCGAGCACCTCTCGAACACAAGTTTCGAGAGTTACGGCTGCACTAATCAGCTCGGTGTTCCATAGAGTTACTTGCTTCTGAAAGTAAAACTGATTCAAAGTTTAGTTTTTTTTTTTGTTTCTTTGGGTGGGGTGAGACTGAGTCCACTTGGTACGTCGGCAACTAACTGGCCTATTGTAGCAGTCCAGGATGATGAATGTGGAGCAGTCGTTGGAATGAGAATTGGTAGGGGAAATCGAAGTACTCGGAGAAAACCTGTCCCAATGCCACACTGTCCACCACAAATCCCACATGACCTGAGCCGGGCTGGAACCCGGTCAGCTGCGGTGGGAAGCCGGCGACTGACAGTCTGAGTTATGCTGATTCAAGGCCTGAAGGGACCATTATGCAAAATGTACATTCCATTGTGTCTCTGGGGCCGCGAGTTCGAATCGAACGTTCATTTGCGTTGCTATCGAAAATTCATGTCGTACTTCCAGACATTTAAATGTCGTCACGTGTATGAGTGACTACAGGCGGGGTTTTGATTGGTTAATGGATTTATTGCCCATTTAGACACGACTCGGAACTACAAGCAATTACAGCCTCACCGCTAATCTTCACAATTCAGAGACCAAAACAGCACCCGATAAGACTTTTTCCAGCATGATGTGTCTTAATCAGCCGTTCCCTGGTAACGGCTTCTAACGGGGTTGATTCTTTGGCTTCACGCTCTCAGGTGCTATGTTCAAAGACTCCCGTACAGAACTCTACTGAACTGAAATAAGCTCCAAACCTCCTGGTTATAATATCTCAGCCCGGACCACATAGGAAACAGCTCTTCTTTGTTGGGTCCAACTGTTACATTATTTAGGATCTGTTGTTTAGCAATGGGAATGTGTTTACCGAGCCGTTGCCCTGAAAAGGTCTCTGTTTACACAGTCACCGCTTAGCAACGGGTCCGCACGCCGAAATATTGTGACATATTGCTAGACCACAGCTCCGTAAACACGTTCAACACGCAATAATGGGAGCTGTGTTCTCAATTAACAAATGTTACAGCTCGTTGCTTGGCAGCAGTCAGCATGCCAATGAACTGGCTGCCTAGCGATCACGTGATATATGTTGGTCCGTGCGGCGGCTATATAACTCGAGTCCGCTTATAGTTTCTTTGACTTTGAGCTTGATCAGACTAAAGAGTAGAGATTAGTTGAGTACAGATTGGTACAAAGTCAAGACTAGAGAGACTGAATATAGGCTGGCGATAGAACTGGAGAATTGGGCCGAGTTCTGGAGAATCGGCAGTCAAAGATGATTGAACAAGAAATGACAAGAAGACTTCATAGCGATTTGAAGTGGTAGTTTCTGTGTTGAGATCCGTTGCTAGAAGACGACTAGTGGAAACTGAGAAACCTAGCGCGTGTGCAACGGTGAACTGGAAAGCGTGTAAATCAGCGATAGTTAGCGCTGTACTGAATGTGATTAAAGAGAGATTGTAACAGAAGTGCCAATAAAACAGTCTCCACTATCCGTTTTCTGGCAATGGATTTTAACACATAAACTATGTATAACAGTCTCACTGAATTACACATTCTAAATATCACAGACGGACTGCCAATTGTGCTTATAGCGCCATCTCCTCTTCACTAACTGCTCACTTCGAACTCCGGAACCCGACTGCCGATTCTGAGTCTTAGATTACGACCGACGGGCAGTCGGCCAGTCTATCTCGGAATAAAGCACCCATCTGGGGCTTACGACTAGATCTTTATTACTGTCAGACAATTTCCGGTTTGTTGATGCGGAGCACTCTCTCTGACGAGAGGACGGGTCTGTCGTTTACAATTGCTGCTGGCCCTTAACAGCGCACTTATTCTCGGGGCAAGAGTCCCGTTGGTCTCGTGACAGACGGGTCTGTCATTTGTATATGCTGTTGGCCATTGCCAGCGAAGTCTTTCTCGGGTCTGAGTCCCTTGGAACTCGCGACCATATTTTACTCTCAGATTTGAGACTTCCCTTTTCGTTGCTTCCTACGACTCGCGGGGTCACGGTGGAGGTATTCGACCCCACCTCCACCGGGTTACTGCCGATTCTGAGTCTGAGTCTCATTTACGACCGACGGTCAGTCGGCCAGTCTGTCATACAGCCTCCATCTAGCCATTGCCTAGCAATGGATATCTCGCCTGGCTCGACTATTCCGACCTTCAGGCGTCATGTCACAATACACGTATAGCAGATACAAATTTAGAGAATGAATAACAGTGAAATTAATAAATTCAATTTTACTGGTGTAATTAAGAAATTGGGAACGAGTGTCCGAGTCTCATCCAGAGACTGTACCTGTACACAGACACAGCTCCACGCATCCTGACACCAGTTGGAGGTGTCGCACCAGCTGGGTTGGAGGCTGCGTGAGCCCCAGATGTCGCGAAACTGAATTACTGCCCTGCAAGGAATCGACCACCGGTCGCGCAGCCAATAACCAGTAACTATACTGACTGAGCTACTGCAGCTCCGCAGCTTCCGACATTGCGGGTCGTCATATCAGTTAAACAGACTCACGTACGTCTGTCTATCCCGAATATTATACTGACTACCTGGAAATCAGAGGCAAATGAACTGACCCTGGGACGCCGCCTGACTCCATGTGGTTGGCCAAAGTGACGTCATCACTCCAGACGTCGAACTGCCACTTGCGCAGCCCCAGGACCCCACAGAGCACGTTGCCGGTATGAATGCCTATTCTCATGTCCACATTGAAGCCCGATGCTTCACGGACGAACCTGGAAAATAACAATCGTGGGTTCAGTATACAACGCCAAAATTTAACAGACAAACCGCAAATCAAACCGAGATTCGAACCAAGATCATCCGAATAAACACATGTGTGTCCACCAGCTCCTTCGCAAGGCTGCATCCTTTGTCATTACCGAGAGGGTAGTAAATTCGAGTTATCCGTGCCCCTTATTTCTGTAAGTCGCAATGGTATGACCGCCTCTGTGGTCTAGTGATCAAAGTTCCTGGCTACAGATCCAGAGGTCCCGGATTCGATTCCCGGCGCTACCAGATTCTTTTCTGAGAAGTAGTGTGTCTGGAACGGGGTCCACTCAGCCTCGTCAGCATAACTGAGGAGCTATTTCAAGGAAATAGCGGTTCCGGTCTAGAAAACCGAGATTATCGGCGTGGGGATCGGTTGCGCTGACCACGCCACACTCTCTATTCTCTAAACCTGGCACTAACTTCGCCGACGAGCGGCGGTCGCTCGGTCGGTATAGTTCGTTTGCCGACTACAGGCCACGGAGGTTTTTTGTTTTGCTCTGAAGACAAAAATAATTGTCTATTCTGTTCACATAGTGTATTTGCGGTTTGTGTTTGTCTCACAACAAAGAGCAAAAGCCTCCCTAAGCAGCATTAACCGGTTGGTCATTATAATGGAGACGCAAACTGTTGCTTGTGAGGTACCAACTGAATTTTTATATCCTGTTCACATGATTGGAAGGCCCTGCGTCCCATCAACTTGGCATATGTTTTTTCTCTTCTTTTTCTTTTCAACGTCTCACAACCCTATGGGCCTTAATGTCCTGTTACAGGGATAGCTTTACTTTTTAATTATGATGATTACAACGATTAACGCTAATATGGATCCATATCAGGATATTTCAGTAACATGAGGCCTGTTTAATGAAATTGCCTGAGTATGGTCCAAAATATCGACCGCGACATTTAGTAGTTATTAAATAAAATTAATGTAAACAATCAGATTGGTTTATTTTGAATCATTTGTTGTTGTTACGGCCAGAGTATTGCATGTTTTCTTGCTTTATTTCTGCCTCCCCCAAAGCCTTGACACGTAATTCATGAAAATCAAACGTTTGCTGTCAAAGTAAGCAAATTATATTGTGGTGTATAAACACACTGCTAAGCAGTTACTCTATAAACAGCGGCCGTTGCTAATAACGCCCGAAATATATAAGCAAGCAATAATGTTTTTTTATGTGATCCGCGCCGCAGCCGCTTCTGGGCAACGGCTGGCTAAATATGATCCCACGGCAACGTACACGAACGCAACAATAGAACGGTGTTTTCTATGTGGCCCGTGCCGAGAAGTTATAACCAGTACAGATGGAGCGATGAGTTCAGTTCTGTAGGGACACCATGAAGACAAGAATCAGTTTCAAGAGTTAGGCTGTGAAGAGAAGACTTCATGTGTGATGTCTGGAGTGTGTAGTTCAGCAACGCTGTTATAGATCATGTGTTAAAATCCGTTGCCAGGAAACGTCGAGTTGAGACTGCAATAGACTGGTGACATTAGTCTGTGTGCGTGGTAGTGATCTGTAAAGCGTAGTCACGAGTCGTGAGCGTATAATCCAATTTCCAGTCCAAATCCCGTCTATAGTCACTCCTAACACGTGACAATGTTTACGAATTATGTAACTTACCAAGCATCAAAATTCAGGGCTCCTGTCTCATGCCACTGCTTCTCGCATCTTACCACTCCGCATGATGGGTGATTTCCTTCCCACAAAAATAAAGTCTCTCTTACAGCTCTTATCTCGCCTGCCCTTCTAACACTGCCTCCATCTCTGTCTTAATGCGCGTCCACATTACTCGTGCTCGTGCTGGCCAGGCTTGTGCTCGTTGGGAGACTCGTCTGGCTTTTACTTGTGCTCGTAAATCTTCGTCCACACTACTTCAGTTGCTCGCCAGGCTTCGGCGCATGAGGATCCGTATATTTACTCGTAGTGTGTATAAGCTGTAGTCGTATTTTAATTTATTGGCTATAGTTTTTAAATTAAAAATTTGCTTGTGTCGTGACTTGTCATATCGTCCACATTGCTCGCGAGCATAGCGAGTCACACGAGCATGAGCACGAGTAATGTGGACGCACCTTTATAATGGCCCAAAACTTACGGCCTGAAGTGGATTAAGATTCTTTCCCTGAACACCGAGACTAGTAAGCACTGCTCAGGCCCTCAATAGCAACCATGCTCGACACTGCAGTGTCAAGCCCCCCCCCCCCTCGATTCTCTTCCTTTTCTCTTTCAGACTTCATAACACAGAGAGCAGTTGCGCGTCTAATTGTATCAAGTTACAAGTCCCTTTTCAATTTCCGAACTTCACTCAAGAGGACATTAAGGCGCCATCTCGGAGAGTAATTATCCTGTCACCAGCACGTATGCCAACGTTAATGAAGTCCCCTGTTCGAGCCACCAGTTTCTGTTGTGAAGGCTACAGAACAGAATCCAGGCAACAAGCGCTGCGGTTCTTCCGGGATATCCTGGCTTCAGAAACCTTGGCCCCAGACCGTTCTTCTGATCGGTTATCCTGCCAGAGCACGCAGTTTAAACGGTGTCCTTGAATAATCCAGCAGCCAATCGATCCACCTAATACAGTTTTCTCTTTTCAGTCCATGTATTAAAGAACAGTTTTAATTCGTCCTCATACACCAAGCACTTCGCACAGTCGACGAACTAACTTGAAGCGGACAGGCCACAGATACGAGCGAGCGCTTAGTTAGTTAGTTATTAGAGAGGGTGGGTTTCCCCATGCACTTAGACCTGTAGTGGTCCATTGTGCTTCCCTCCATGATTTATACCAGCCTCTATATCCTACCGGTATTGGTGCTTACCATCAGTCCCGCCCAGCCAGAGAGACCGGCTCTACTAGCTGAGAAGTATCTATAATGCTTCCCCCATCTACCGGAGGTATTAGTGACTGCTGTTGGGCGGCAAACGTCCGCAATTTTGCNTTTGGAGATATGAGGTTCTTTTACGTGCCGTAAATCTACGACACGGGACCCACGGCTTAAAGTCCTTCCCGGAGGACTTGTTCCCTGAATTTTTTCGCCCTTAAAAATTCGACGACCTCCGCCGGGTATTTGAACCCGCGTACTACGAGTCATGAGGTGGGAACGTTTCCTCTAGACTACGGAGGCCGCTGAGCGAGAGCTTTATTTAAGAGCTAGTCTCATATTCTGTTACGTAAATTTTAAACAAGACTGAGCAAGATAATTCTGTCATCTGTAGATATACGATCAGGTATATAAAACCGAGATTAACGGCTGTGGGGATCCGTTGCGCTGACCACGCGACACCCTCTATCCGCAAAAGTTGGCACTAACTTCGCCGACAAGCGGCGGTCGCTCAGTCAGTATAGTTCGCTTGCGGACTAAAATCACGGAGTTTGTTCTTGTGGAAGGACATTTATACGGAGTAGGAAGATTTTCTTTGACAGATTCTCTTCTTTCGAACCGTTTGATTCCAACCATTGCGAAGCAAGTTGCTGTAACATTTCTCATTAATTCTTAGCATCACAAGGAAGAAAATCAACACGAGTCACCCACTTTGAATCCAAAAACATACTTTCCCTGATCTTGCCAGCTGACAGCTGTCCTGAACTTCTTCAAATCGTTCAGGAAATTTACTGTACCAGTCACAGACGCTCTGACGTGACAAGGACTCTTCCCCATACTGTGTGTCTAACCTACGGTGAATTTCTGCTGGTTGCAGTTCCTCTTTAGTTAGAAATTTAATGGTACAGCCCTCTTCTACACTAAGTGTCACAAGGTACTGGCTCTAATGTGCAGAAGAGGGGCGCATGGCCATCTTCAAGGCAGTGGATGCAGTGTTGTCACGTCTTCAGGATAACCTTGAACCGCATTCGTAGTTTTCAAGACTATAGGGTCTTACACAATTTTACTGCAAGATAGCCAGGTTGACAAAACCTAATCTCAGGCGTAACTATATAATTTCACGCGCTTGAGTGTCTAGACACGGACTTCGTGTAGGTAATGGGATTTATTGGACACTAACAGATCTTAACTACAAATAAGTACAAGAGTCTCAGTGAGTTACACACTACAAAAGATCACTGTAACTACAGCACACATAAAGTCTCCTCAGTCTTATCTGGCCGTTGCCTGGCCACGACTTCTAGCTCTGAACTTTCCTCTTCCTCTGGGTTCCCAAACTGCCCCGGGCTCAGCTACTCACTTCTCACAACTGCAGCTCAAAGTTAAAGTCACCCAGGCAAGCAAAGGGACTCATACGAGGACCCTCTGCTAAAAGAGCGAAGGGACTGTTGAAGTTAAACAGGAACCAGCTACGATGGGTGGTGGGACTACTTACGGGACACTGTCACCTTAAAGGACACCTCTTCAAACTGGGACTAAGTGATAAGTCTCACTTGTAAGAGGTGTCAATAAGAAAATGAAACAGCCACACATATCCTGTGAGAATGTGAGGCCTTAGCTTATTTAAGATTACGTCACTTGGGTCAATACTTTATGGAACCAAGTGAGTATTTCGACGCCCCAACGTATAAAATCCTACGTTTCATTCGAAGCGCAGAATTGCTGAGGGAATAATCAAAGGAGGAAGCACAATCGATCACTGTAGGTCGCGGTGCAAGGGCCGAGAAGGCCCACCTCTTATACATTCATTCATTCTGATCCTAATGTTCTTAAACCTAAAAGAAGTTGTGAAAACTGTAAGAAACAAAGGGCACACCTTGCGAGGAAAGTAACGACATGAAGCTGCTCTTAATATGTGCATTCAAGTGCTTGCGGTGTGCGAGATCCTAAACGTGTCATTCAGGAGGCTGATTTATTAATGAAGTAAATTCAGAACTGGTTCAGTTGTCACTGGAACGGCGCAGAAGCACTGAGCTGACGGATTTCCAATATGTAAAGACGAATGACATAAATTACTGACACAAGTGCTCAGGTATAACGTTCCCACCATCAGTTACGAAGTAACAAGTGTTTTTGTGTGTTTGTGTTTAC